TAAGAATTACGTGAATAATCAAATCAATAAATGTTGGGTAGTTAGTTAGATAGTATATAGTTAATATACTGCCAAGTTTGATGTATTAGTAGCCAACTAACGTTAGGACGGTAACTAGCTAACATACCAGTACATACTATAATGCTATGCGGTTCGTAAGGATAGCGTAGCTATCAAATTGTCAGCCAACATAACATGTAACGTAACTTATTTATTACTTTATTACATTGCTCAACATTTTCTTAACATTTGTCATAATTAGTTAAAGCAATGAATTTGCATCCGCTCTCGTCGGACTTCGGCTGCATATTTTCCGCCATTTTCTTCAAATCTGAAAATGTTGTGAAGCCATGCCCATTTTCTGAAGAATTGCATTATGGGCCCTAAAAGCACGTAAATAGTGTCCACTGCTTGTATACTTCGTATTTTGGCGAATTTAGTACGACATCCGGGAACTTTTGGCATACTAACTATATCCATACTATGACCAATAAGCATACTACATAGTCAATTTACGTCACTAATAGTATGGTTAGTGTGGTTAGTATGAGTATTCGAACACAGCTAATGTCTGGACTCATGGCCTGTTGGTATAACCCGAATATAAATTGTGATACTTTTCCTCTCTTTTATTTCTATGTATTAAAAGTGTAGTAAGTGTTTCACTGTAATATGAAGGTACAGATTTTATCATGAACATGTTTGGAACCTGTAAACTACTTATTTAATCCTGGAGATAGTTTTTCTGAGTTTTTCTGGTTCAAAGCACATTTAAACATGCTGTGAACACTTACAGTGCATTTGGAAAGTATTCAGACCCCTTGACTTTTTCCACGTTCTGTTACGTTACAGCCTAATTCTAAACTGGATTAAATAAAACATTTTCCTCATCAATCTACACACATTACCCCATAATGACAACACAAAAACAGGTTTTTAGACATTTTTGCTAATTTATAAACAAAACAAAAACAGAAATATCTTATTTACATACAGTACCAGTCAAAGGTTTGGACACACCAACTCTTTCAAGGGGTTTTATTAATTTTTACTATTTTCTACATTGTAGAATAATAGTGAAGACATCAAAACTATGAAATAACACATATGGAATCATGTAGTAACCAAAACAGTGTTAAACAAATCAAAATATATTTTATATTTGAGATTCTTCAAAGTAGCCACCCTTTGCCTTGATGACAGCTTTGCACACTCTTGGCATTCTTTCAACCAGCTTCACCTGGAATGCTTTTCCAACAGTCCTGAAGGTTCACACATTTGCTTAGCACTTGTTGGCTGCTTTTCCTTCACTCTGCCTTCCGACTCATCCCAAACCATCTCAATTGCAACAGATGAACTATCTTGGGTTAGTTATAAATATCTTTGGTACAATATGGAGCGAGAGTATGATCTGCCTGTTTCACACAGAGTTTACAGTGATTATTGTATTCTTACTTCTTTCTCAAATCGTAATGTTCTGTTGTTGTTATAAGTAAAAAGCCGGTGTCTCTGAGGTCAGAGATGCACCCTGCTGAATTGTGTGTGCATGTCTATTTCTTCCGTCCATACAGCGACCTATGAGAAAGCAAAAAACTCACCAGAAACTTCTTCTTCTTCGATGAGGTTTAACGGCGGTTGGCATCCAATAAATGTTGCATTACCGCCACCTACAAGACTTGAGTACAACTCCCTCATCCTTTGCTTGAGAAAATAAATAAGTAAACAAATACGCTACCATCTTACACTACACTACACAAATAAAAAAACATCACCCTACTCCACTATTTACATCTATTTAATCCTACCTCAGGTCAACAACCTGAAAGGATGGGACACTTAACACACCCTGTAACTCTTCTGATGTCAAGTCTCGCACACCCAAATACCTCTCTGCAGCTGCCACCACAACCTCCATTTTCTGAGACTTACGTTCCATCCCTGCAGTACAGTTTCCCCAGTGCTACATATTCCTTTGTCTCGTGCCCTTCTGCACACCTCACCAGAAGCTGGCTGATACAAAGTGTAATGAATTCATACTCAAGAACAGTAGGCTGAAACCAGTGGAGGCTTGTGGGAGGAGCAATAGGAGGATGGGCTCATTATAATTGTATTATATTTTTTTACATTTTTTGTCATTTAGCAGACGCTCTTATCCAGAGCTACTTACAGTTAGTGAGTGCATACATTTTTATTTTATTTTAATACTGGCCCCCCATGGGAATCGAACCCACAACCCTGGCGTTGCAAACGCCATGCTCTACCAACTGAGCTACATCCCTGGCTGGAATGGAATTAATGGCACAGAGTCAAACATGTGGTTTGATACCGTTTGATACCGTTCCATTCATTCAATTCCAGTCACTACAATGAGCCTGTCCTCCTATAGCTCCTCCCACCAGCCGCCACTGGCTGAAACACAGGGCTAGCTAAGTGTGGTCCTCTGTAGCTCAGCTGGTAGAGCACGGCGCTTGTAACGACTGTAAGTCGCTTTGGATAAAAGCGTCTGCTAAATGGCATATTATTATTATAAGAGAAATAGAGGAATAGGTTGGTTGCAATCCACCAATACAAATTTAAAAGCACATTATGCAGAAATCGCTCCACCATTTCCTGGTTGCTAAAATGTGTATAGTTCGCCTAATTTAAGTTTATGTGAAAAAACAAACAATGTACTATCTAAACCGCTGTGAAATATATTTTAAATAATAAAAAATATTGTCTTTGAAGCTGTTTGAACCTGGTGTACAAAACCAAAAGTGAAAGAGGCAAAAGGGAAACTTAAGAACGGGAAGCATAGATATAGTGCATATAGGACAGATTTACCCTTTCTTAGACTTGCTTTCAATGAGAATGACAGATCTATAACTCATGGGGTGCGTTCAGGTCGCTTGAACGTTTTCTACGTTGCGGAACGGTTTGTACTGAACGACACGTTTTCCCAAAACGTCTTGAACAGCCTGAGATACGTTTGATTCGTTCGGTGGGTGTGGCCCGGGGTGTGGCTTGACGCGACGAGTGACGTATTTAAAGGACAGCGGTGCATTTTGAAACCCACAACCAAACGTTTTTCAACCTGTCGTTATGTACAACAGTAAACACTGAACGCAGCCTAGGACGAGTAGGCCAAATCTGACGAAATTAAAGTCTGAACAAGTGGGATCTCACAATCCAAATTTACTTACTCAAATACGGCAGCTCAAATTATATATTTGCAGTTGCAAGACAGGCACGCTCCGCTCACAGGTATGTAATGTATGTATTTGTGAGGCATTATAAATGGCGTGAGCCATTTATCCCTGTTGTTGCGCTAGATAGGTAGCCATTTTGACCGTTGATTTCGCCTGCTGCTAGCTCCATTTATAAGCCAGCTAAACTGTCATTTATCATCCATGGCCGTTGACAGGTACGCTTTTGAGGCTAATTTGTCATCACTTCAAGTAATGCATACAGTGTATTTATCATGTAACTAGCTTATAGCTAGAATACTATTGAAAGTTGCACCATGCGTAATCATTCGTTGGCTTACTCATTCAATTTGTCCTGCTAGCAGTAGCTAATGCTTGTTTACAACCGAGCCTGCTAGGTACTAGCCATATATTACATAACTCTTAACTGCCCATTGCCATTCTCTTGCCTAAATGTTGTTACTTCTCTTTCAACAGTGTTGATCTGCTGCAAAGGTGTGAAGTCATTTGAAAAGATAACTGAGAAGTAAAGAACACTTAAACAAAACAAATTTATGCCAAGCCTTAAAACAAATACATTTGATCAAACTTAATCTTCAGCAACAATCTCTTCTGTCAGATGCTACAGCAAAGTCAGGATTGTTCAAGCTAGTAAAAGTCAGAAATGTGTTAGATATCTTTTGAAAAGTGAGTGAACTTTTATTGAGGAAAGTTGCCTCTGTATGACTCAAATATAATTTGACAGCTAAGAACTGAGTCAGTTTACATGAGTGTTTGCTTTGAATGAATGTTGGTATCTGACCAACACTACCGCTTGGGTTTGGCGTGTCTGAGGTTAAGATTAATGTGTGCATAGAACCAAATGTCCACTACTTTCTCTAGCGATAAAACCTCTATGATAGGGAGTTTATGAGAATGTCAGGTTATTTTTCACTCCCCTTCTCGAAGCCCCTTACCGCTCATCGCCTCACCCTGGAAACTGGAGATTCTCTACCAGGCGATCAGTCTCTTCCAGGCTGTTGAGTGGTCCCCCCCCCTCCTGGGTTGCCTCTGAACATACACAAGGGCTGGGCCAGCTGCACCAAGAGGAAAGCAACACCACCACACGGACTGAGAGGAATGCCACTGGACTACAGAGCTGACTACTCTGGGTAAGAAGGCACTTGTTATAGGCTCCTGGTCAAGATGTAATACGGTACAGTCAGTGGCCTAGAGCGAAAAGTTCCCAGCAAACTAAAATTGGTTCTGTGAAAGTTCCCAGAACATTTGATATGTTGCAGGAAATATTCTCATAACACAAGAATGTTTGCATAAAACATTCGCCTGATGTTGCAAGAATGTTGCTCTCATATTTTGTGGCATTATGTTCTAAAAACATTACTGGTACATTGTGTTATTACATTACCTGGAAACCTAATGAAAGTTGAGGGAATGTTCTGTGGTGGTTGTTACAGATGTTTAGTGGAATTGTTATCAAATACATTATTTGAATGTTATCATCCTAATGTTAGAAAAACCCTAACTAGAACTTAATGGGAATCTTAGCTAATGTTCTGGGAATGTTCCTGGTTTGCTGTGTTTATCCTCAAGTAAAATGGCACTAGTTAACAAGTGGGTTTGGCATAGTTCACATTCGCACACACTTCAAATAGCAGCAGTGTAGATCCATTTGAATCATTACTCATACATCATAATTCATTCATCTCATACTATAAGGAGCCTGTTTATTATATCACATGAAACTCCAAATCCTCTGAGGTACTGATACTGATTCACATGTCTGGTAGTGATATCCCTCCATCCTTGCCTCTCCAGATCCTGGCCATGAGGTTTCATGCCTCGCTCTACTGACAGGAGACACTGGACATATGGCGCAGCATGACTTTGTTCCAGCCTGGCTTAACTTCTCCACGCCTCAGCCCGCTAAGGTAGGTGAGGCCAAGGCCCAGAGAGGGGCTGGAGTTAGGGCAGGACAGCTAAGCTGCTGTATCCTATTCCTACAGACGGACATTGACCCCAAGTGATACTGTGATAATCCAGTTATAGTCATGGCTGTCTTCTCTGTTGTTCAGTAGAGGCCAAAATTAAGCAAAAGCTGTTTTACATGCATACTGTACTCAGTACTGTATATCACTACTCTCTAGTTGTACCTTCTGTTCAAGACATATTTTCCTTATGTACTGGTTAAATAACTGATCAAATCACTATAGCAATCCCAGATGTTCTGGAGCTCTTAAAAATCATGTCTCAAAGTAAAATGGGATGACATTCTAGACAGTCGTTTTTATTTTTTCTTTATTTAAGAAGCTTTTGACTTGGATTTCTTAGTAGCATTGAGGGTAAGCCATCCAGTGCAGTAATGTCTGGGCAGGATTTCAGCAGATTTCAGGGAAAGTAGCATCTGGTTTGGTCATTTGGTGGTGTTAGTACTGTATTCATGGTGCCATATAGCATGTTGAGTTTGGTATAGTGTTTAATAGCTTGTGAGGTATTTCTGAGTGTGGTTACTGCACACACCATTCACTCTCTTGTTCTCCCCCTCTTTCTCAGTCTCATGCAGCCTTTGAGAGGCATGGAGAGCACCTTGCCCGTGGTGATGCTCTGCCTGGTGTGAGCCGCCGTCGCCATAACTCCTCTGACGGCTTCTTCAACAACGACCCCCTCAGAGCTCCTGCAGGTAACACACACACACTACCTACACCCAAACAGGGTTTACCAGTGTGTGTATGGTATGTTGGATTATGTAGTCCGTTAAATTATTAACCTTCGGTTGCAAGGAGACGGGTGGCATCAGCTCTCTCTGCTGCGGCATGACTCTGTGGACTCTGGCATGGCCAAGGGGGGTCTGGGAAGGGGTCTGCCCACTTGGCACACTGGTACCTGGGGACAGGAGAGACCCCAGCATGGGCGACACCCCAAGCGACCTGTGGGTGAGAGGGAGAGACCAGGGGCCCTCCGCCAGTGCAACGGGACCTTCCATCCCCGTAGAGGCCCTCTCCCCTCTAATGAAGGAGGCCAAAAGGACAAGCTGAAGTTTGTGGAGGAGGGTTTTGTGAGTGCCCTACCTTTATCTCCTTGTATTTCCCCACTTCCTCGCCGCCTCATTCTCCATATTGTTTTAGCTTGAATAGTAACCTGCTTTGTGATGATGATGATATTTTTCAACTACAACAGACATGGTATTATCAGGTACCAAAGCAGTGTGTTAACTACTGTGTGGTTTTTGTTTTTCTCCACAGCCCTCACTCAACCCAGAGAGCAGTGGGAAGCCAGTGGCCCAGTCTCGTGCTGTAGGGACTCCTGTAGGAGTTTGGGGTAAGAAGCTCTTCCAATCTCTAACATGTTATAGGTATTGATTATCATGAATAGATAACTTAATATGAGGAAGCCTGTTTCATGGATTGGTCAATTCATCCCCCACAGAGCACCCTCCTGGTGCCAAGCAGACCATGACTAAGATGCTGGTCATCAAGAAGGTTTCCAAGGAAGACCCTGGTGCTGCTTTCTCTGCTGGTTTTGCCAACACGAGACCCCATTTAACCAACAGCACCAAAACCCCTGTCTCTGGACCCAGTGTCTACAAGAACCTGATGACCAAGCCAGCTACCGCCCCAACAAAGGTAGGCTCTCACCACAGTCACTGCCCCAACCATGGAAATGGAATTACTAGAATGGGAAAAGCCCCTCCATAATTATATTTCTATGGCCCCAAACAAGGTAGGTCCTCACTACAGCCACCTCCTCACCCAAGATCGGCCATCACTACAACAATTGCCCTACCCAAGGTTGGCACTATATACCAAGCTTGTCGCTCTCGCTTTGCAGACTGGTCCATGGAAGCCGAACGGAAGGGAAACCAAAACCAGTTTTAATTTCTCTGGCCAGGACTCAGCCTTCACCAACCCTGCTGCTTCTGTGACAAAACCTTTGATAACGTCTGTCAGGCCCCCGGCCCACGTCAGCCCCAAGGAGGTGAGAGCCTGAACCCTTACTTGGACCAGAGAGGAAGTCAGACTAAATACTGACCTGGAATCACCATTCCACCACCACCAACTCTAGCATTGATCGGATAGGATACACTTTATTGGGGAAATACTTTTTCCTCCATTCCTTTCTTTACCCCTCTCACCCCTCAGCCTCCCTCCAGCATCACCCCTCCTCGTCTGAAGCATCGCAGCACCGACCGCAAGAGTGAGTTCCTCCAAGGCCTGAAGGATGAGAGGAACGGGGACGGGCCCACCTCAACCAGCCCCTCAGCCACTCCAGAACCTCAGGAGAATGGAGGAGAGGTTCCGGAGAATGGGATCTCTCACTCTCTCAGCAACACAGACACAGATCACCTGTCCAGCACGCTGGAGGCAGAACACAGGTGTGTTGCACCCACATGCACATGCCCTCTCCCTTCACACTGCATCAGTGACTCAAACACCAAACATCTATCCACCTTGTTTGACCAATGATCTCTGCCTCCTCTGGTAGGTTGCTCAAAGCTATGGGCTGGCAGGAGTACCCAGAGAATGATGTCAACTTCTTGCCCCTCACTGATGAGGAGCTCAAAGAATTTCAAGATAAAACTGAGAAGGTAAAAGCTATACGTACAGGTAACTGCCAAAATAAAAGAAACACTAACACTGTCTTTAATAGGGCGCTGGGTCATCACATCCGTCTGATAGGGCTGGGCGATATGGCTAAAATATAATATTACGGTATTTTTCACATTTGTTACGGAATGACAGTATTTTATGTTTTTTAAATAATAAAAGTTCTACATTTGCTTTAAGTAGTGCATGACCTTAGGGTGGCAACACATACATTCTAAGTGATTTCAATGGGTCTCTCTCCATTCTGATTGTTATATACTGTTCAATTCAACTTAACCCCCCCCCCAAAGTTCTGCATTTTCATCAATTTCTGCATTTCCTGCACTCATTTGAGATCATTTCCACACTGCCACATAGGGCTGCATGATATGGGCAAAAAATCTAGGCCTTATTTTTTAACCAAATGTTGCAATTGCAATATGACTTGTGATTTAGATAAACAATTGGGTGAACTGTTGGAATCATAAAATTATTCAAATTCTATAGTTGGAAGGTAATAGTGGGCACTTGGAATACAGTGTTTTGATATGGCAACTTTGGAAAATGCCAGGGTGGAGTTATTGTGACCGGGTAGGAACCAAAGTGTTGGTCAGTGTTTTCTCTTAGCTACTTCAAGTAACTAATATTCATGCTTCGCCTATTCCTCTTTTGATTTAGAAGATACTGTTGCACAAACAACATTCTGATTTAGGCCTCCACCATCACTGGTATCAGGCTGTAAAGCTAGCTACGTTTACTCTGACTCCGTACATTTGCTAGCTAGTTAGCCAGCTAACTAGTGATTAGCATTAGCGGCTAGCACGACTTGCTAAGAAAAGACAAATTAGCTGTTTGCAGATGTAAGAAACACAAACTAATTGCATAATTATAGAACGCCTGTGGATTTATATTAAGAAGCAAAGTGGAAACAGCATCGTAGTCGTCAACATTGTTGCATGTGCTGCATTGACCATGCAGACTGAACGCAAGTGTCACGTGGTCGGGCAAAAACAGATGCGCTCCGAGTGACAGGGGGTGGGGCTAGGCCTGTGTGGAAAGCGGCATGGAGAGAGCGAGATGATTCAAGTAGCGGAGTAAACTATAAAAATGGACGTTACACACGGCGTATCACATTTAACAAACCAAACATTCAAATACCGTTATAGAAGGTAAAGTACAACCCCACACCGGTCTGTGCATCAATACCAGTGTATATAGTAAAAACGGTATACCGCCCAGTCCTACTACCAGAACGGCTTTAATGCCTTGGCATATAATCTACAAGTGTCTGGAACTCTATTGGAGGGAAGCGACATTATTCTAACCACGAGAAATTCCATTATTTGGTGTTTTGTAGATGGAAGTGGAAAACGCTGTCTCAGTAAATGAGGGATACAAAGTACAGTACCAGTCAAAAGTTTGGACACCTACTCATTCCAGGGTTTTTCTTAATTTTTACTATATTCTACATTGTAGAATAATAGTGAAGACATCAACACTATGAAATAACACATGGAATCATGTAGTAACCAAAAGTGTTAAAACAAATCTAAAGTATATTTGAGATTCTTCAAAGTAGCCACCCTTTGCCTTGATGACAGCTTTGCACACGCTTCGCATTCTCTCAACCAGCTTCATGACCTGGAATGTATTTCAATTAACAGGTGTGCCTTGTTAATTTGTGAAATGTCTTTCCTTAATGCATTTGAGCGAATCAGTTGTTGTGACAAGTTAGGGGTGGTAAACAGAAGATGGCCCTATTTGGTATAAGACCAAGTCATATTATGACAAGAACAGCTCAAATAAGCAAAGAGAAACGACAGTCCATCATTACTTTAAGACATGAAGGTCAGTCACTTACTCAAGTGGTTTCCTTTATTTTGGCAGTTACCTGTAGTTATTTACAGTTCCTTCAGAAAGTGTCATACCCCTTGACTTGTTCCACATTTAGTTGTTACAGCCTGAATTCAAAATGGATTAAATGTTAATTTTTTTTGTAACTCATCTACACACAATACCCCATAATGACAAAGTTAAAACATGTTTTGAAATTTCTGCAAATTTATTGAAAATGAAATGGAGATTAATTTACATAAGTATTCACACCCCTGAGTCAATACTTTGTAGAAGCACCTTTAGTGGCGATTTACAGCTTTGAGGCTTTTTATTTTAAATGTTTTGTCATTTAGCAGATGCTCTTATCCAGAGCATTTTGTGTATGTCTGTATCAGCTTTGCACATCTGGATTTGGAGATTTCCTCCCATTCTTCCTTGCAGATTTTCTAAAGCGCTGTTAAATTAGATGGGGAGCGGCAGTGAACAGCAATCTTCAAGTCTTTCCACATTTATTTATTTTTGTTGTCATTTAGCAGACACTCTTATCCAGAGCGACTTACAGCGCAATTAGGGTTAAGTGCCTTGCTCAAGGGCACGTCGACAGATTTTTCACCAAGTCGGCTCGGGGATTAGAACCAGCGACCTTTCAGTTACTGGCACAACACTCTTAACCACTAAACTACCTGCTGCCCCAGATTTCCAATGGGATTTAAGTCTGGGCTTTGGCTGGACCACTTAAGAACTTTAACATTCTTGTTCTGAAGCCATTCCAGCGTTGATTTGGCGGTATGCTTGGTCATTGTCCTGCTGGAACATATCTTCGCCCCCAGTCTAAGTTTGTTTGCAATCTGAAGCAGGTTCTCGTCAAAGATTTGGCTCCATTCATTGTTCCTTCTATCCTTACCAGTCTCCCAGTCCCTGCCGCTGAAAAGCATCCCCATAGCATGATACTGCCACCACCATGCGTCACGGTAGGGATAGTGTTGTACGGGTAACGAGCTGTGCCTGGTTTTCTCGAGACATGGCGCTTTGCATTAAGGCCAAAGAGTTACAATTGTCTCATCAGACCACTGAATCTTTTGCCTTATGTGCAGTCTTTCACATGCCTTTTTGCAAACTCCAGCTGTGCTGTCATGTGCCTTTTTTCTCATGAATGATCTGGCCACTCTCTCCCGTAAAGCCCAGATTGGTGAAGTGCTGTAGAGACTTGTCCTTCTGGCAGGTTCTCCCATCTCAGCCAAGGAACTCTGTAGTTCTGTCAGTGGTCATTGGGTTCTTGGCCACCTCCCTGACCAAGGTCCTTCTTGCCCGGTTGCTCAGTTTGGTTGGACGGTCCAGCTCTAGGCAGAGTCTGGGTAGTTAAATATTCTTTCCATTTCCCAATGACGGAGACCACTGTGCTCTTGGAAACTTTCAACACTCCTAGAAATTGTTTTCTACCCTTCCCCAGATATACTGAACAAAAATATAAATAATTTTACTGGGTTACAGTTCATATAAGGACATTTGCCAATCAGAATGAGTTTTCCCCCACAAAAGGGCTTTATTACAGACATAAATACTCCTCAGTTTCATCAGCTGTCTGTGTGGCTGGTCTCAGACGATCCCGCAGGTGAAGAAGCCGGATGTGAAGGTCCTGGGCTGGCGTGGTTACACGTGGTCTGCGGTTGTGAGGCCAGATGGACGGACTGACAAATTCTCTAAAACAACGTTGGAGCGGCTTATGGTAGAGAAATGAACATTCAATTCTTTGGCAAGAGCTCTGGTCGACGTTCCTGCAGTCAGTATGCTAGTTGCACGTGCCCTCAACTTGAGACATCTGTGGTGTTGTGACACAACTGCACATTTGAGTGGCCTTTTATTGTCCCCAGCACAAGGTGCACCTGTGTAATGATCAGATGTGATGCTTGGCATTCAGGCCAAAGAGTTCAATCTTGGTTTCATCAGACCAGAGAATCTTGTTTCTCATGGTCTGAGAGTCCTTTAGGTGCCTTTTGGCAAACTCCAAGCGGGCTGTCGTGCCTTTTTCTGAATAGTGGCTTCCATCTGGCCACTACCATAAAGGCCTGATTGGCACGATCAATTTAGAGTCTCATAGCAAAGGGTCTGAATGCTTATGTAAATAAGGTATTTTTATTTTTTATAAATTTGCAGACATTTCTAAACCTGTTTTTGATTTGTCATTATGGGGTATTGTGTGTAGATTGAGGGAAAAACATTAATTTAATCTATTTTAGAATAAGGCTGTAACGTAACAATGTGGAAAAAGGGAAGGGGTCTGAATACTTTCCAAATGCATCATCAATTCTGTCTGAGATCTACGACAGGTCCTTGGACATGGCATAGTTTCTGCTCTGACATGCACTGTCAACTGTGGGAGCTTATATAGACAGGTGTTTTTTTCTACACTGAACACAAATGTAAACGCAACAATTTCAAAGATTTAGCGAAGTTACAGTTCATATAAGGAAATGTGTCAATTGAAATAGTCATTAGGTCCTTATCTATGGATTTCACATGACTGGGAACACAGATATGCAAAAAAGTAGGGGCGTGGATCAGAAAACCAGTCCGTATCTGGTGTGACCACCATTTGCCTCATGCAGCGCGACACATCTCCTTCGCATAGAGTTGATCAGGCTGTTGATTGTGGAATGTTGTCTCACTCCTCTTCAATGGCTGTGCGACGTTGCTGGATATTGGCGGGAACTGGAACAAGCTATCGTACACGTCGCTCCAGAGCATCCCAAACATGCTCAATGGGTGACATGTCTGGTGAGTATGCAGGCCATAGAAGAACGGGGACATTTTCTGCTTCCAGGAATTGTGTACGGATCCTTGCGACATGGGGCCGTGCATTATCATGCTGAAACATGAGGTGATGGCGGCGGATGAATGGCACGACAATGGGCCTCAGGATCTCGTCACGGCATCTCTGTGCATTCAAATTGGCATTTATAAAAGGCAATTGTGTTCGTTGTCTGTAGCTTATGCCTGCACATAACCATAACCCTACTCATAAATGCTGTCTGCCCAGTACAGTTTTCTCGAGACATGGCGCTTTGCATTAAGGCCAAAGAGTTACAATTGTCTCATCAGACCACTGAATCTTTTGCCTTATGTGCAGTCTTTCACATGCCTTTTTGCAAACTCCAGCTGTGCTGTCATGTGCCTTTTTTCTCATGAATGATCTGGCCACTCTCTCCCGTAAAGCCCAGATTGGTGAAGTGCTGTAGAGACTTGTCCTTCTGGCAGGTTCTCCCATCTCAGCCAAGGAACTCTGTAGTTCTGTCAGTGGTCATTGGGTTCTTGGCCACCTCCCTGACCAAGGTCCTTCTTGCCCGGTTGCTCAGTTTGGTTGGACGGTCAGCTCTAGGCAGAGTCTGGGTAGTTAAATATTCTTTCCATTTCCCAATGACGGAGACCACTGTGCTCTTGGAAACTTTCAACACTCCTAGAAATTGTTTTCTACCCTTCCCCAGATATACTGAACAAAAATATAAATAATTTTACTGGGTTAGAGTTCATATAAGGACATTTGCCAATCAGAATGAGTTTTCCCCCACAAAAGGGCTTTATTACAGACATAAATACTCCTCAGTTTCATCAGCTGTCTGTGTGGCTGGTCTCAGACGATCCCGCAGGTGAAGAAGCCGGATGTGAAGGTCCTGGGCTGGCGTGGTTACACGTGGTCTGCGGTTGTGAGGCCAGATGGACGGACTGACAAATTCTCGAAAACAACGTTGGAGCGGCTTATGGTAGAGAAATGAACATTCAATTCTTTGGCAAGAGCTCTGGTTGACGTTCCTGCAGTCAGTATGCTAGTTGCACGTGCCCTCAACTTGAGACATCTGTGGTGTTGTGACACAACTGCACATTTGAGTGGCCTTTTATTGTCCCCAGCACAAGGTGCACCTGTGTAATGATCAGATGTGATGCTTGGCATTCAGGCCAAAGAGTTCAATCATGGTTTCATCAGACCAGAGAATCTTGTTTCTCATGGTCTGAGAGTCCTTTAGGTGCCTTAACCCTACTGCTACCATGGGGCACTCTGTTCACAACGTTGACATCAGCAAACCGCTCGCCCACACAATGTCATAAATGCTGTCTGCCCAGTACAGTTGAAACCGGGATTCATCCGTGAAGAGCACACTTCTCTAGTTGCCATCGAAAGTGAGCATTTGCCCACTGAAGTCGGTCACGACGCCGAACTGCAGTCAGGTCAAGACCCTGGTGAGGACGATGAGCACGCAGATGAGCTTCCCTGAGATGGTTTCTGACAGTTTGTGCAGAAATTCTTGTGCAAACCCAGAGTTTCATCAGCTGTCTGGTGGGTGGATTATCTTGGCAAAGGAGAAATGCACACTAACAGGGATGTAAATTAATTTGTGCACAAAATGTAAGAGAAATACACTTTGTGCATATGGAAAATTTCTGGGATATTTTATTTCAACTCATGAAACATGGGACCAACACTTTACATGTTGCATTTTATATTTTTGTTCGGTATAAATCCTGTCCAAATAATTGAATTGGCAACCGATGTAGTGACATCTCAAGGATGATGAAAGTAAATTGGATGCACCTGAGCTCAATTTGGAGTGTCATAGCAAAGGGGTGTGAATACTAATGTAAATGACAGATTTCATTTTGAATACATTTGCCAACATTTCTAAAAAAACATGTTTTCACTTTGTCATTATGGGTTATTGTGTGTAAATGGGTGAGGGGGGAAAATGTTTTAATTCATAATATAATATGCCATTTAGCAGACGCTTTTATCCAAAGCGACTTAGTCATGTGTGCATACATGTTTAAGTATGGGTGGTCCCGGGGATCGAACCCACTACTCTGGCATTACAAGCGCCATGCTCTACCAATTGAGGACCAAAACGTGGAATAAATCAAAGGGTATGAATACTTTCTGAAGGCACTGTAAAATGTGTTACTGTGAGCCTATAAGTGGGTATCTCTGTTGTCAATCAATTGGTGGATTCGATTATGCTGATCCGCGGGGTCTATGGCCCGTGACATGAACATGCAAAAGTGGCGAGGGAGGATCGCCCTTCTCAAATCTAACAGTAATCTGTGCCGCTCGGTCATGTTGTCAAAAAGGCAGCATGGTGCATCATCCAGAAACATACATCTCTTTTCCATAAAATGTTTTGAATTTCCAAACTAGTTTTCATTGGCAAGGTATATAAAGCGTTTTTATCAAAAGCAATCACTTTTGCATGTGAAAACAACACACAGAATGCTACTCACTACTCCACGTGCTTAACGTCACTTTTGTTTTGAGCCAACTTCGCTGTGGGCTTTTAACGGGGCACCTGGCTCACGCCCAGGCAGTGGTGGAAAAAGTACCCAATTGTCATACTTGAGTAAAAGTAAAGATACCTTTTTAATAGAAAATGACTCGTGTGAAAGTCACCCAATAAAATGCTATTGAGGAAGTCAAAAACTATAAATAATTTCACATTCCTTATATTAAACAAACCAGACCATTACGGATAGCCAGGGGCACACAGACAATCATTTACAAACAAAGCATTTGTTTAGTGAGTCGGCCAGATCAGAGGCAGTATGGATGACCAGGGATTTTCTCTTGATAAGTGTGACTTGGACCATTTTCCTGTCCTGCTAAGCATTCGAAATGTAACAAGTACATTTGGTGTCAGGGAAAATGTATGGAGTAAAAAGTACATTATTTTCTTTAGGAATGTAGTGGTGTAAAAGTTGTCAAATATATAAATAGTGAAGTACAGATACCCCCCCAAAAACTACTTAAGTAAAACTACTTTAAAGTACTACTTAAGTACTTTACACCACTGCGCCCAGGAGGCAGCCCTGTTCCAAAACTAATGCAATCAACTTTCACCCGGTGCAAAACATGCCCGCCCGGGCCAGATTAATCTAATCCTCTCTTGTCTGTCTTTTCTAGCTGAAGAGGAACAGGCTGGGCCAGAACGGTGTTCTCCTAAAGCCTTTTCTGAAGGGCCTTCCCCTGCTGTTGTCCTGGAGAAACCCTTTAGAGCCTGAACTAGAAGAGGTCACAGAGACTGAGAGCACCAGTAGCAGCCAGACATCAGATGACGACGCAGATGCCTAACGTGGCTTTACACCCCTCTTCTTCCTCACGCCACGCTGCCTCGCTCATTGCACTCTTCTTGCTCATTCACAAGAGACTGGTCATACAGACACTGGTGTGACAGAGGGTTCAGAGGTGACGCCTGCCTGCCTGAGGGTTTTTCTTTCTTTCTGCTTTTTCTTCCGACACCTTTTTTTGTTTTTGTCTTTTCCCAGGAGCTCAAATGTTAATTGAACACAACACATCACAATTGTTCTTTTGCTTTGGCAAATCAACAACGAGGATTTAACTGGCAAATGACTTCATCAATCAGTACTTTATTTTGAAAAATGGCTTTGACACGTGCTCTTGCTGAAACAATTTGTAGCATTTGTGTTGAGAGGAAACTATCATTGTGAATGGTTGATATTGACATTGCTTCCAGTCCCCTAAATAACCCTTCTATAAGGATTTAGGTTTGTTTTGGTCCATGTTAATGTCTCTGTCTTATCTGAACAGTGTAAGGCATTCGTTTGCTTATTATATTTCTCGTAAGCGGTAGAAAAACTGTCATTTGCAGTCATGGACCAACATTTATTTTAATACAATACTGATTTGAATGTAGCCAGTTGGGGCATAAATAATAAAACAAAAGTTCAGAAGTAATGTCAATTGCATGGTTAAGTCACACTTTACTTTACTTTACTTATTCTGGAGAAAACCAACATTATCTCATCGAAGCTGATTGTCTGTTTAGTTCGCCATCGTTTTCAGACATGCAAAATTCAAGTTGTTTGGTTGATAGAGACTGTAAACTTAGTCCCCCAAATACTCTTACTGCTTGTATTAAGATACAACTTGTTTTCTTTCTTACATGAGGGACTGCTGTTGTAAATGTACGCATTTACCAGATTTTGAAATTGAAACTATTCTCCTGGCTGGTGGAATGTTCAGATGGCTTTGACCACATAAAGGCTCTTTTGTTTTATTTTCTAATTTGGTACCGCTGTGTAAAACATTGATTATTTAATTTGTTTGCATATTGCTCTTACAGCCTTGACATTCAGGGTGGATTGTAAAAAATATAAATAAATTGTGAGTTTTGAAAGATTTCAGATTATTTTGATAACAACATTATTTACAGATTTGGCAGCATGTATGAGAAAGAAACTACTGCATCTTGGAAAAAGAAAATTGTAATAAATATTTTTATCAGATTGCCAAACAGTTGTCTGCTTCTCTGTATCAAAGAATCAAAATCATACAGAAGTGATATGTTTAGTACTAGACGTATCCAGTGACACCTGTAAAATCAATTTACGTAGTCAAAGATTATAAAGCTGATTTGAGAAATCTGTGTTGTGGCCCTCCGTCCTCCACTCCCACACAACACAGTCATCGACATGGCGACAGTAACCAACAAACAGGGAAATCACCAGAAGCATATCCAGTCCTGTTACGCACATGAGTAAAGTAACCACATACCTATGTTTACTTTGGGAGAAAAAAGGGGTAAATAGGCTAATGATAATCGTTGAGCTCATTTAGGAGTATATTTAATTTTCCACCCTTGGGATATGTGGTGTTTGCCTTTATTGTTACCCCTGCAAACTTGATTAAACGGACACAGTGATGGAGTCATTGGGAGAGTTCAGTTGTCGGGAGTGTAGTATGGCATTCCGCTCCCTTGGACTTCTTAAGAAGCATAAAGCATTATTCTGTATCGGGAGCAGCATTGGAGACCCTGTGGTGCTGAGACAAGGGCAGCCTGAGCGCAAGGGACTCTATCCAAAGCCGGCACGCACCCCTGATCTTATAAGGGTAAGTATGTTCGCTGTTATAGTGGCTCTTGTAGTGTGTCTGTTTGTCTAACATTGATTGTTCCTGGTAGCTGAGAGAGCAGAGGGGTATGCACCTACCGAACATGCAGGGGAGGACCAATGACACAGAACGGAGAGCTGGGAAAGAAGAGAACCTACGGGGCAGTGTGTCAGACAGCCTAGCCTTGAGGAACCTTACTAATGAGGTGCTTACCAACGCTCAATCTCACCATCTAGACATGCAATATAACCTATAGCCACCTTTTGTAGCCCCTTCAATATTACAGAATATGAATTATCATAGACAGACAAATGTCATGCTTGAAATTATAGTTTCATAAGCTGAGGATGTCGATTCAGGAGAGTATGCCCAACCTGCCTAAATGGCCTACTGAGACAGAGGGTCTGGAGGACCAGGTCCAGGTGTTTGGGAGAAAGTGGGACCACAGGGAGAGGCTGAGAGAGATGGCAGAGCAGCGCGACCAGCAGCTGGCAGAGATACAGACCCACAACCACCTCCTGGAGCAACAGAGAGAGGGTAAGGGGCCATAGAGATCCTCCAACACAAAGAGATATGGAGGAATTCATATTTTATACAGTTTTTCATGTAGAAAGGTTAAATTGGCTAATGTATTCAGTTACATGTAATCTGATTTCAGATACTTAAAAAAAAAATAGATTACTGCCTCCCGAGTGGTGCAGCGGTCTAAGTGCTAGAGGCGTCACTACAGACCCGGGTTCAAATCCAACTGGCTGTGATCGGGAGTCCCATAGGGCGGCGCACAATTGTCTGGGTTAGGGGAGGGTTAGGCCAGGGGGGCTTTACTTGGCTCATTGCGCTCTAGCGACTCCTTGTGGCGGGTCGGGCGCTTGCATGCTGACCTCGGTCCGGGTTAAGCGGGTGGATGTTAAGAAGCGACTCAACCTTTGCCTCCCGAGGCCGTTGGGGAGTTGCAGCGTTGAGACAAGATTGAAATTGGGGAGAAAAAGGGGGTAAAATAAAATAAAAAATAGATAACTTGGATACATTTTTTATTCAGACAGGATATTTGCGAGAAAAAAATGAATTTTGATACTTTTCTGTTTTCTCAATGACATTCAAGTCTAAGTTTATTCCACCTGAGAGAGTCTGACCACAAGTCAGTGACCACTATGATGACACACCAAATGTGTTTGATGGTTGATTTTTGTCTTTTTCTAATGTCTCTTAAGGGGAACGTTATCCAAAAGTAACAAAGTAATCAGATAACGTTACTGAGTTTGGGTAATCCCCCAAAAAATGTTACTGATTACAATTTTGGACAGGTAACTAGTAACTGTAATGGATTACATTTAGTATGTGTATGTCAGAGATAGCATGGCAGCTTGGGGCTCTGGCAGGGCAGGGCAGCAAAGCCCACCTGGAGACGCTGCTGCTGGAGATGAGGGATCAGGAGGAGAGGAACGAAGACGACTCTACAGCAGCTCAAAGACCACATCACTACCCTACAGCCTGGGTGAGTCCACTAGATTGCAGCAAATGACCATCTCACACACTCAAAGTACATAAGTGATGAGTTATAACAAGTTATAAACAGACATGGTTATCAACTAGAAGAAAAAAAGAAACATATAAATAAAGATGTTCTTCTGTGCTTTTCATAGGGTCAAAGAGGTCAGGTTTGACTCACCCAACCCTGACCACAGGAAGGGGCATAATGTCGTCTTTGACCTAATATCCTCTGTGGATGGACCCCTCTCCACCCAAATAAGGTAAGTAATACTAGTATGTCTTAGTGTAGCTACACCTCATAGAACAACACCACAGAAGTACACGTTATTATTAGCACCATTGTAGGTGATATTAGAAGCCGTAATCATAGAGCAAGTAAGTAGTTGTCAGGTCATTATAAAAAAAGAACATGTGTTCTCAATGACTTACCTGGTTAAATAAAGTCTGTAAATAGATGCTGTAGTGTTAGTAGTAGCAACGTATTACTATCCTGCACCATATTTGTATCTATGTCTGTGTTTGACTGTCTGTTGGTGTGACAGAGCTCTGAGACTGGACTACATGCAGTCAGGTGGTTCTGATCCGGCTGTCCTGGCCCAGATGCATGACCTGCAGACAGAGGCCCACACTCTGGAGCAGCAGGCCCAACCTGGGGCTGACAACAATGGCAGGAGGAAGCGTGAGTGTCAATCCTGCATGGTCCTTCATTGGGGTATGGAGGATGTCACATTTGGTGCTTTGGTGCCACCTTTAGTGATTTATTTATATTGTGCATGTTTATGTCTGTGCCTGCACCTATTTGTCTTTCTGTTGTCTTTAAGAGACAAAGAACTGTATCCTGTTTGTTTTTTAAATAAAAAAGTACTGTATCGTCTTTACTTTGGTGCCTCTCTAACCACCCCTTCTCTCTGCCCAGGGGTGAAGCCTCCTCAGCGGGCTGGGAACTCAGAGGTCCTGGCTGTGGAGCAAGAAAACCAGAGACTGGAGGAAGAGATCTTCAGAATCCAGTTGGCCAGAGACAAACACCGTCGGGAAGACGAGCTCCATCAGATCCAGAGAGAACACACCCACTACATGGCCAGCATTCAGGCTGAGCTCGAGAGCCTTCGCAGGGAAGTAGAGAGAGCCAGAGAGGGCCCTAGGGACCGGAGGCTGCCCCCACCCCCTCCACCTCCACCTCTGTTCCCTGCCCCACCAGCCATGCATCCCCTTGCCCAGATACATGCCCCTCCAGCCCTGGTAAAGTTATGATGTTAATATTGCTGTTAATCTATCTGGTTCTCTCTGAAGACATTAGGCCCATATAGTATATCCCCCCTATGATCTTGTTACAGACCCAGCCCAGGCCCCATTCCTCTCTCAAGGAAAGGCATGTACTCGACCCCCTGGACTCCCTTGGGCCTGCGCCCTACGACCCTGCGTGAGTCCATTATGACTAGCACATCTATGTTGGCTATTTCACTTTTCTATATGAGTAAAATTAAACATTACCTTCACATACATTATTAGAGACACATTTCTGTTACTCTACAGATGTGCAGGTATGAAGTACCGCTAAACTACTCTAAACCCTGTTGATTTGCAGGGCTGGTTTTGCTGTCTTTTATGACTTGATGCTTGGGCTAGATGTTACGCTGACGGTTCTGCGTCTGGTGGCCGGTCTCTACTCTGGAGGCCAGGAGGTGGGGCGGCCTACCCCATTGCCCCCTACACAGTGCCAGCCTGTAGGGGGTCAGCCCTATACACACACTGTGCCCCCTGGGAACTATGCCCCCCTGGCAGTCAAACAGCCTATGCCCAGGTAAGCACTGCACCCTGAGAAGAAAAAGTACCTGTGAATCTCACCTGTAGCATGTTGGCTGGAGTACATCGGTGACAGATCAAAAGGCAATTGTTGCTCACTGAGTGACAGACTTGTTTCTTGCTCTGTTAGCTAAGGTTGCCTTTGAGTTGTGTGTGTTGTTGTTCAGAAGGTTTAAGACAAAACTCTCTGCCTCCCGAATGGCGCAGCGGTCTAAGGCGTCATTATAGACCCGGGTTCGATTCCAGGCTGTGTTGCAGCCGGCCGCGACCGGGAGACCCATGAGGTGGCTCACAATTGGCCCAGCGTCGTCCGGGTTAGGCCGGCTAGGATGTCCTTGTGCCATTGCGCTCTAGCGACTCCTTGGGGCGGGCCAGGTGCATGCACGCTGACTTCGGACGCCAATTGTACAGTGTTTCCTCCAACATATTGGTGCGGCTGACTTCCGGGTTAAGCGAGCAGTGTGTCAAGAAGCAGTGCGGCTTGGCAGAGTCGTGTTTCGGAGGACGCATGGTTCTATGCATGGTTCTCGACCTTCGCCTCTCTCGAGTCCGTATGGGAGTTGCAGCGATGGGACAAGACTGTAACTACCAATTGGATATCACGAAATTGGGGAGAAAAAGGGGTAACAAAAAATATATTTGTAAAAAATATATATACAGTGGGGAGAACAAGTATTTGATACACTGCCGATTTTGCAGGTTTTCCTACTTACAAAGCATGTAGAGGTCTGTAATTTTTATCATAGGTACACTTCAACTGTGAGAGGCGGAATCTAAAACAAAAATCCAGAAAATCAAATTGTATGATTTTTAAGTAATTAATTTGCATTTTATTGCATGACATAAGTATTTGATACATCAGAAAAGCAGAACTTAATATTTGGTACAGAAACCTTTGTTTGCAATTACAGAGATCATACGTTTCCTGTAGGTCTTGACCAGGTTTGCACACACTGCAGCAGAGATTTTGGCCCACTCCTTTGCATTTTTATTGCATGACATAAGAATTTGATCACCTACCAACCAGTAAGAATTCCGGCTCTCACAGACCTGTTCGTTTTTCTTTAAGAAGCCCTCCTGTTCTCCACTCATTACCTGTATTAACTGCACCTGTTTGAACTCGTTACCTGTTTAAAAGACACCTGTCCACACACTCAATCAAACAGACTCCAACCTCTCCACAATGGCCAAGACCAGAGAGCTGTGTAAGGACATCAGAGATAAAATTGTAGACCTGCACGAGGCTGGGATGGGCTACAGGACAATAGGCAAGCAGCTTGGTGAGAAGGCAACAACTGTTTGGCGCAATTATTAGAAAATTGAAGAAGTTCAAGATGACGGTCAATCACCCTCGGTCTGGGGCTCCATGCAAGATCTCACCTCGTGGGGCATCAATGATCATGAGGAAGGTGAGGGATCATCCCAGAACTACACGGCAGGACCTGGTCAATGACCTGAAGAGAGCTGGGACCACAGTCTCAAAGAAAACCATTAGTAACACACTACACCGTCATGGATTAAAATCCTGCAGCGCATGCAAGGTCCCCCTGCTCAAGCCAGCGCATGTCCAGGCCCGTCTGAAGTTTGCCAATGACCATCTGGATGATCCAGAGGAGGAATGGGAGAAGGTCATGTGGTCTGATGAGACAAAAATATAGCTTTTTGGTCTAAACTCCACTCGCCGTGTTTGGAGGAAGAAGAAGGATGAGTACAACCCCAAGAACACCATCCCAACCGTGAAGCATGGAGGTGGAAACATCATTCTTTGGGGATGCTTTTCTGCAAAGGGGACAGGACGACTGCACCGCATTGAGGCGAGATCTTGGCCAACAACCTCCTTCCCTCAGTAAGAGCATTGAAGATGGGTCGTGGCTGGGTCTTCCAGCATGACAACAACCCGAAACACACAGCCAGGGCAACTAAGGAGTGGCTCCGTAAGAAGCATCTCAAGGTCCTGGAGTGGCCTAGCCAGTCTCCAGACCTGAACCCAAGAAAAAATATTTGGAGGGAGCTGAAAGTCCGTATTGCCCAGCGACAGCCCCGAAACCTGAAGGATCTGGAGAAGGTCTGTATGGAGGAGTGGGCCAAAATCCCTGCTACAGTGTGTGCAAACCTGGTCAAGACCTACAGGAAACGTATGATCTCTGTAATTGCAAACAAAGGTTTCTGTACCAAATATTAAGTTCTGCTTTTCTGATGTATCAAATACTTATGTCATGCAATAAAATGTAAATTATTTACTTTAAAATCATACAATGTGATTTTCTGGATTTTTGTTTTAGATTCCGTCTCTCACAGTTTAAGTGTACCTATGAAATTACAGACCTCTACATGCTTTGTAAGTAGGAAAACCTGCAAAATTGGCAGTGTATCAAATACTTGTTCTCCCCACTGTATATATATATATATATATATATATATATATATATATATATATATATATATATGTACATATCTCTACCTTCAGGATGCAGCCGTCTCCCTCCCTGTCTCTAGTGGTTGAGCTTCAAGCTGCTGGAGGTCTGGACACCTACGGTCAGGAGGTCCAGAGGCTGGTGTCCCGGGGCTGGGCACGGCTGGAGCTCTTCAACCAGCACAACCAGGTCCAGAGCGGGTACTGGAGAGTGCCAGTACGTGCCCTCCCCGTCCGACCCTCCCTCAGTCCAAGCCAGCTCAACTCAGTCCCCCAGGTGAGGGTAGAAACCCGTCTGGCTGACTGCTAGTGGTTAGAATGAAGTTTGATTGAATATCCATTATACATAATGATGTCTTAAAATGACAAAGAATATCATAACAGTTGATGATGACATGATTCCATATGTGTTATTTCATAGTTTTGATGTCTTCACTATTAGAAAATAGTAAAAAATAAAGAAACACCCTTGAATGAGTAGGTGTGTCCAAACATTTCACTGGTAAATTACATACAGTTTGGACACACCTACTCATTCAAGGGTTTTTCTTTATTTTTACTACTTTCTACATTGTAGAATAATAGTGAAGACATCAAAACTATGAAATAACACATATAGAATCATGTAGTAACCAAAAAAGTGTTAAACAAATCAAAATATATTTTATATTTGAGATTCTTCAAATAGCCACCCTTTGCCTTGATGACAGCTTTGCCCACTCTTGGCATTCTCTCAAGCAGCTTCACCTGGAGTGCTTTTCCAACAATCTTGAAGGAGTTCCCACATGTGCTGAGCACTTGTAGGCCGCTTTTCCTTCACTCTGCCGTATGACTTATCCCAAACCATCTCAATTGGGTTGAGGTCGGGGGATTGTGGAGGCCAGGTCATCTGATGCGGCACTCCATCGCTCTCCTTCTTGGTAAAATAGCCCTTCACAGCCAGGAGGTGTGTTGGGTCATTGTCCTGTTGAAAAACAAATGATAGTCCCTCTAAGCCCAAACCAGATGGGATGGTGTATCGCTGCAAAATGCTGTGGTAGCCATGCTGGTTAAGTGGGCCTTGAATTCTAAATAAATCACAGATAGTGTCACCAGCAAAGCACCCCCACACCATAACACCTCCTCCTCCATGCTTTACGGTGGGAACTATACATGCAGAGATCATCCGTTCACCCACACCGCGTCTCACAAAGACACGGCGGTTGGAACCAAACAGCTCCAATTTGGACAAATTTCCACCTGTCTAATGTCCATTGCTCGTGTTTCTTGGTCCAAGCAGGTCTCTTCCTTTAGTTGTGGTTTCTTTGCAGCAATTCGACCACGAAGGCCTGATTCACACAGTCCCCTCTGAACAGTTGATGTTGAGATGTGTCTGTTACTTGAACTCTGTGAAGCATTTATTTGGGCTGCCATTTCTGAGGCTGGTAACTCTAATGAACTTATCCTCTGCAGCAGAGGCAACTCTGGGTCTTCCATTCCTGTGGCGGTCCTCATAAGAGCCAGTTTCATCATAGCGCTTGATAGTTTTTGCGACTGCGCTTGAAGATACTTTCAAAGTTCTTGACATTTTCCGTATTGACTGTCCTTCATGTCTTAAAGTAATGATGGACTGTCGTTTCTCTTTGCTTATTTGAGCTGTTCTTGCCATAATATGGACTTGGTCTTTTACCAAATAGGGCTATCTTCTGTATACTCCCCCTACCTTGTCACAACACAACTGATTGGCTCAAACACATTAAGAAGGAAAGAAATTCCACAAATTAACTTTTAACAAGGCACACCTGTTAATTGAAATGCATTCCAGGTGACTGCCTCATGAAGCTGGTTGAGAGAATGCCAAGAGTGTGCAAAGCTGTCATCAAGGCAAAGGGTGGCTATTTGAAGAATCTCAAATATAACATATATTTTGATTTGTTTAACACTTTTTTGGTTACTACATGATTCCATATGTGTTATTTCATAGTTTAGATGTCTTCACTATTATTCTACAATGTAAAAAATAGTAAAATTAAAGAAAAACCCTTGAATGAGTAGGTGTGTCCAAACTTTTGACTGGTAGTGTATACCGTTTTTCAACAAATGCAATGCTGTTATGTGTTAGGAAGTCATGTGAGATGACATGACACATGATGAAACACAGTCGTGTGTCTGTGTTCTCTAGGTGGGCAACACGGAGCTGTGTCTACGGGTGGTCAATGCTCGGGACAGGGACGTGCAGTCCCTCGCTAAGATTGACCCAAGCAACACCAGCCACTATAAGTACCCCTCCATGGTACATTTAATTATATTCTCCAAATACCACCCTTCTCTGACCACATCATTGTACTGTTTCAACATGACTCTGTTAGCCAGTAGTGTGGTAACTTATGCCTTAAAAAAATGGATCTGAACTGCTTTAGTTATTTGCTCAGGCGGACTGGGGTAGAAATCACTGCTGTAGATCCTGACCTGGTGTGTTCAGTCCATCGTAAAGCTTCAGAGAGTTTATTCTATTGATAGTAGCTATTTTGTGTACCGTGTCATTACAGGTGTCCAATCTCCCTGCAACTCTTCAAGGAAATAGACCCCTTCCCATGTCAACATTACAGCCCTCCGCAGCCAATCACTTTCTCTCTCTCCTTCCCTACACTGACCACAAAGACCCTCCCCCCATGGAGGAACCCAATCAGAGGTGATTGATGATGATGATTTCAGTGTTTGGAAATCAGTAAAATAATCACTGTCATTTTTATTTAGGTTGGGGAGAGAGAGAGAGAGAGAGAGAGAGAGAGAGAGAGAGTTACTTCATCTGACCTTTTCCATTGATTGTTGTAAGTTGTCTGGATGTGTTGTTCATTTACAATGTGCAAATAAAAGACACAAAAACCCAGGACTCAGCCCCTTTTTTCATTGTTTGTTTTCAATGATGGTATTATGACGAAGACTGTTAACATACACTACATGGCCAAAAGCATGTGGACACCCTTTCAAATTAGTGGATTTGGCTATTTCAGCCACACCCGTTGCTGACAGGTGTATAAAATCGAGCACACAGCCATGCAATCTCCATAGACAAACATTGGCAGTAGAATGGCCTAACTGAAGAGCTCAGTGACTTTCAATGTGGCACCGTCATAGGATGCCAACTTTCCAACAAGTCAGTTCGTCAAATTTCTGCCCTGCTAGAGCTGCCCCGGTCAACTGTAAGTGCTGTTATTGTGAAGTGGACATGTCTAGGCGCAACAACGGCTCAGCCGCAAAGTGGTAGATCACACAAGCTCACAGAACGGGGCCGCGGAGTGCTGAAGCACGTAAGAATCGTCTGTCCTCGGTTGCAACACTCACTACAGAGTTCCAAACTGCCTCTGGAAGCAACGTCAGCACAAGAACTGTTCGTCAGGAGCTTCATGAAATGGGTTTCCATGGCCGAGCAGCCGCACACAAGCATAAGATCAACATTCACAAAGCCAAGCGTCGGCTGGAGTAGTGTAAAGCTCGCCGCCATTGGACTCTGGAGTGGTGAAAATGCGTTCTCTGGAGTGATGAATCACGCTTCACCATCTGGCAGTCTGACAGACGAATATTTTGGTGGAGGAGGAATAATGGTCTGGGGATGTTTTTCATGGTTCGGGCAAGGCCCCTTAGTTCCAGTGAAGGGAAATCTTAATGCTACAGCATACAATGACATTCTAGACGATGCTGTGCTTCCAACTTTGTGGTAACAGTTTGGGGAAGGCCCTTTCCTGTTTCAGCATGACAATGCCCCCGTGCACAAAGCAAGGTCCATACCGAAATTGTTCATCAAGATCGGTGTGGAAGAACTTGACTGGCCTGCACAGAGCCCTGACCTCAACTCCATCGAACACCTTTGGGATGAATTGGAACGCCGACTGCGAGCCAGGCCTAATCGCCCAACATCAGTGCCTGACCTCACTAATGCTCTTGTGGCTGAATGGAAGCAAGTCCCCGCAGCAATGTTCCAACATTTAGTGGAAAGCCTTCCAAGAGGAGTGGAGGCTGTTATTGCAGCAAAAGATGGGTTGGGTGTCCCCTCAGGGAGCAGGAAGCCTTTGACTGATGGGCTACAGCCAAAAGACTGGAAAGATGAGCTAAGGTGTTAATCTTTCTCTCTTCAGTCTACTGGTCAGACAGTGGACTTTCTCTTCCCTCCTTGTTGCCTCTCACAGATGCTAATGTGTGGGGACTCAGGATTCCACTGCTGCACTTCCACAGCATGCTCCTCCATAACTCGATGTTAAAACCTTTGCTCATCTCTCCATCATGCTCCAGTGTCCCCTGCCATGGCTCTCACTACTCCGGTAAACCTCTCTCACACATTGCCCCAGTTAAATAGTCTGTAAGGTAGCCAACCATTCCATGTATAATATTATCATATTTGGATGTCTGCATCTGCTTGTGTTTGCTAGCCTGAGGGATCCCTTTGAGCCCTACAGTGATGTTGTGGCCAAACAGCACAGCGGAGATGAGGCACCACCGCTCTTCCCCCTCCCACCTGAGTCACCCATACCCCGCCCCTAAGTGCGGCTTCCAGGTCAGCCTTCTCCACCTGTGGTTCCTTCTTTATTTCCATGGTTAAATCTCACACAATGAGAATCGATCAATCAATAAATCATTACACTGAGTCTGGTAGAACATCTTTGGGGCCTCTGTATAAGTTCTGTTATGGTTTTGTGACAGGTGTCTGTGAATGGAGCCTTGAACCTACCGTGGTCAGGCTTCACCCTGGGTCTCTGCTCCCTCAGCACCCTGGTGCCTACTACCACCGGTCCCACTGGGTGGCCTAGATGACCCCCCCCCCCCCACATATGAGCATTTAAAGTTGTGTACTTTGAATGCAGTTCTTATTGCATTGGAGCCTACAACAAAAATCTGGTATGTTTGTACGAGTGGATCAACTGTGGCAGTGTAGTAACGGCAACAGTAAGTTGCAGAGCCACAACATTGTTTATTTACTTTAGCCACATGATAGCAACCATATGCTTAATGTTTTTCCTGTTCCCATGACACATCTTTATGGTAGGTGCAGCTCCTGACCAGGGAATCTGCATTTGTGTGGGTGGCAGACCGGCACAAGGACCAGGAGACAGCACCATGTGAGGTGAAGATGCCATGTCCATACCCTGGTCCCAAATCTCTTCAAAAGCGATATGGTTAACTCCATATGAATATTTAATATATACCGTCAATGACAGGTTAATATGAATCATTGGTTAACCTTGATAATGACAAAAAAACATTTTCTCATCTACCTTACTAGAACACAGACCGATTCCAGTTGCCCATGGACCATCTGGACTGCTACAGCCCCAAACTAGCTCGTGACAGCCCAGCTATCGGCTCAGCTCACACACACCACCACCACCTCACTGCAGAGTCTTTTAACCGGTCTCCTCACAGTACATACAGGAGAGTTTCATTTACAGCAAGTTCTGAATAAAAACTAAACGGATGTAGGTGGAGCTAAAGGGTGATTATTAATTTTTTTATTCACAGAAGCTCTGACAAAGGCCAGCTAAAGTGATACTGGCAAGAGCAGTGCACAAGTTTGTCTTTTATGGTTTTTAAATTAAGATCAGCGAAAGCATGACTTTTCAATCTTATACTTGACATGCAACATCCCCCCCCTGCAGATAGTGAATCAGACCTTGGGAGAAACATCACACTTCAGGGCAAGACTTCAAGTCAGTAGGCAATGGCACCTGTGTCACTTTAAAACTACCCAGACAAATTAGTAACCACTTTGTACCTAAACAGGTTCAAATGATACTGTAACCAAAATAAAAAGGTGGTATTAATTCCAAAGACAAGTGACTCATATTTGCAAATACTCTAATGAACTTTTATTACTATAAGTATACAAAAACATGTGGAAAATTGTCATATTTACAGAAACAAAAGTGTAAGTGGGCGAAAGGGGCAGGCATGCTCTGCTGGCTGGAAGATCAGGAAGTCAAGAGGAAGTGACATCACACCGAGGATTCCACAGAGGCGGACAGCTTGCCGGGCTATACAAATAAATAAAATGAAAAAATGTCATCCAATCTGACAGCAGAAGTAGATCAGAATGTTAAATGCCTGGACTCTGCTTTAATCCACAGAGACAAACCTGCCATCCCTGTCAGGGGTCCATTACCACTGTAGAGATTAATCCGTTTGAGGATTTATGCCCCCTGTATGAGTCTTGGTCAAATATGTCATAGCACTCCAGTCTATTCAAATAAAAAAAACGACACTGTCCAAGGTGCCACCAATACCAACTTCCTCTGCTGCACCTAACCCTACTGAGAATGAGTTAAGCCTATCAACTCGCCTCCTGTGACCCTTTCTCCTGGACGCCATTGCCGGCAGAGCCGGAGTCGCCGCTGCCATTAACTGTAGTTTCCTGCTTGGTCTTTTTAGCGTCAGTGTCCTTTACGGGGCTCTCCTCCGTTTTCCTCTGTTCAGGAATACAAACCAAAGTCACTTCTCAACATTACCTCCCTCACCTCTACTGCAATCTACTCTAACATTACCACACAATCACAAAAGCCACTACACCACAAGTCCCCACTACACAATCACGACTACACACACACAACCAACCATCAGAATTCAAGCCCGATCAAAACACCTCCTAGACATGCATAACGCTCAACCACAAAAGGGGAGATTGGAATGGAAAGCAAAGTAATCAAACACCATTAAAAGAGGAGTCACCCTCGCAACTAAGAGCAAGCAAGCAAGTCATGCAACCTGAGCATACTAGGAAAGGGGGCATGGACTGATTTGACAAAGGAGGGGTCTACTACAAGCAGAGCACAGTAATGTACAGCATGGTGTATAGACCAGGGTATGATCAGCCTGATCTGCACATTGGCAGCCCTGCCACCTGTTGCCCCAGACTGGGACTGGTAGGAGCGGGTAGGGATCTCACCTTTTTCCTGACCAGGTGGGAAATGTCAGATGCAGATTTGGAGGAGGACGCACCATCGGCTGCAGATCTGACAGGGATCTGAAACACAGGACAAGGGAATTGGTCATGAGATCAAGCCTGCTTACTGAAGTGAATGACATCCGAGTCATTTGTTTGAATTAGCACAAGGTTTCCTTCCAAGTGCAAGAAAAATGTAGAAGATGGTAGTTACCCGACTGGTTCCAAATGCTGATGAACAGGAAGATGAAGGTCCACCGTTTTCTGCAGATGCTGATGAGGAAGAGGAGAATCCTGACGACGATGGGAATGTTGACGCAGTAGAAGCTCCAGCCTGGAGGAGATCAGACATGCTCAGTCGAAGGAAGAGAATACATCTACAGATCAATGGCATAAACAAGCTGGCTGAATCCTCATGTCAACTTTTCTTCTCATTAGCAATTGAGAAGTGGACTGAATTTGTTCCTTGCAGTGTTCAGTGCTTGGTGATAAACATTTAGTAGATAAGTCATTAATTAGAACACATTGTATCAAAACATTTTACAACAGTAAATTAAAAAGGAGAATTTCTTATTGGACATGTTCCTCCCAGTTTCAGTCCGTTTGGTGACTAATGAACATAACCCTGATCCTAGCCAGTATCTCACAGGGACTCACCAGGGTCTGCTGTATGGCCACAGAGGCTGATCCTGCCATACTCTGGCTCTCCTTGGCGTCCTCCACCTTCTCAGCGACGTCAGGCAGCAGCAGCTTCAGCTCTTCCAGCTCAATCTTCTCTTTGGCTCCGTCTTCCCCTTCCGCCTTGTCCATCACCTCCTGGAGCATGGCTAGACACAGAAACAAGGTCAGAGGTCGACAGGTCAGAGGTCGACAGGTCATTCCTAGTGCAGTAGTGACTGCGCAGGTAGCTTTGAATCAAGTGCAAAAAGTTGATGTTCTTTCCCAAATTGTTGCTGGTAAGTTACAAGAGATCTGAACAGCGGCCGTCTGTAAAATAGATTATTTTGGCTCCTTTGTTGACCGACTCAGCTGGGAGAGTATGCCGAATCTGCTTCGATAAGGGCTGGTCAGTTCCTTAGAACTTAGGGAGAATCTCAATTGCATACTCGTCACGTCCTCTCTCCTTCTTAAAACCCATTGGAGAAGGTCAGAGGGGAGTCCCCTAGACCCCCCTCCCTCCATCCATCCTGTATGGCCAAATTGGTAACATGGCGCTAGCAACGGCTAGGTTGGGGGTTCAAATACTAAAATGCATAGATATGTGGCACATATCATTATATTTATCCACCTTACCCAGGCGGCTCTCGATGACTTTGACAGAGCTGCTGTAGTGCTGGATGGCCTGGCTGTACTGGCCTGTGTAGCAGTAGGTCATGCCCAGCTGGTAGTGGGTCTCGGCCAGCAGGCGGCTGTGGGGGGGCAAGTGCTTCAGCTGCAGGGACAGGCAGTCCTGGAAGTCCTCCACAGCTGCAGGGTAGTTACCTAGAAGAGGGAAGGCCACATGAATATGAAGTGAACACAACTACAACCATCTGTAGTGTGTGGTGCAAGGGTCTAACACCTGAGGGAGGGGGAAGGTGATCAGAAATGGGATGGAGTATAAAGTCAACATAACTATGTGTGTTCAGTAGGGCAAGCCGTAGCAAAACATTTTGCAAGAAACAGTACATGGAGATCATACCAGATTCTGCTCCAACTTCTCCCAACTTCAGATAGGCCTGAGCAGCCATCAACTGGTCCTCCTGGTTCTCCTTTCTGTTTGGATAAGGAGAGGGAAACAGGTGAAAGGTAGTCCATTGGAATCATGTATACCCAAAACAAAGTTTGTGATGGTAGCGTTCTACAGGGAGAACTAAGAGGCAGTGTTTACCTTTTGTAGATGACCTTGGCAACCTCCAGCATCTCCCAAGCCAGTTGCAGGTTCCCCACTTCCTCATCTTCACTCTCCTACAAGAGATGGGAAGATGCAAACAAGGTTAGAAGTTCAAGTAATATTTTCATACGAAATAAGTTCAATGTGACAAAGGGACATAAAAAAAAAAAAAAAAGGATAACTTACTTTGTCTTCAGCAGTGCCTTCCCCTTCATCGTCGTCATCATCATCATCATCTAAGAGTGGAGGCCAAGATAATTCAGTAAGCCTAGGCTGCAGCAGTCCTACACATCAGGATAACCAAAGACTAACTGTATATAACCAGAGAGTGATAGTTCACTAGGAAAGACAAGTGGGAGAGGAAAAGCTTGTGCCTTTAGTAATAATGTGACAGTGGCAGTTCCCAACAGTGCAGCTTAAACTTCCATTAGCAAGAGAAATGAGACTTCAGTTGCAATCCCTTTACAGCCCTACTGCAGGTTCAACCACCATTTGTGTGACGTCCATTCTTATGGTCCTTCAGTCCCAATCCACGTGGTGCACCCAAACAGATTCCTACACAGGACATAAGTTGACCTTCACCCTCTTCCTCCATCTTCTCCTCCGCAGCCTCCTCTCCATTCTGCTCTTCAGAAGTCTTCACGCCAATCTCCTTTACAGCTTCCTCTTTCCCAGCTTCCTTATCTTTTCTAGCTTCATCTTCAGGAGCAAAAGGAGCCTCCTCCACCCCATTCACAGGAGGCTCAGACTTCTCATCATGCCCATTCTTGGCAAGAGATTTGGCAGCACCCTCTTCCTTTGCCATGGTTTCCTTCTTCCCCTCTGCCACTGCCTCAGATTCACTCTTCCCTTTCTCATTTGGCTCAGCTTTGCCGTCCTCTCCATTAGTCGTTTTTTTCTCTGCCATCGCATCATAAACCTGCATTCGAAGCTCGTCCCTTGTTTTGTCTACACCAGAGATACATGGGGCATGAAAACTTGAGTTATATTGTTCTCCACAATATGCTATAAAAAGAGTATGTCAAAATAAATTCTCAATCTGTGACCATAGCATGAACCAGCCTTTATCCTCACTGAACAGAGCTGACGGGGATGAACGTGTCATTCCCGCTTCCCCTGTCAGAGAAGCCCATTGACAGGGGGCTTGTCATTTCTTGATATCATATTGAATACACCTACTACTAAACGCCAATGAAAAAATAAACAATTGTTAGTTTTTGCTCCAGCACAAGTCAATTGTACTAGCTAGCTAGGAGTTAAGTGACAAACAGCCATAAACAGTGGTGGTCAGGTTAAGATGGGCTACTACTCACCGTCCAAGTTGTCGGCACTCTCAAACTTTGAGCTGTCCGGCTTCTCTCCCTCCCCTCCCTCCTCAGAGGACTCCTCAGGGACTCCCTCAAGAGCATTACCAAGGACAGTGTTCTCCACCCTGAAACACCACTCAAATATTCATAACTCAGAGCTTGGTGCTGGCAGCAGCAGGGTTGTGGGTTTGATTCCCACATACATACCCCATGTATACTGAATACACAAGTCACTCATTCTCAACAGTTCTTCCAGTCACTTTGGATAAAGGTCTGCTAAATGACCATACAATTATAAAAGCAATTATTCTAAAGTTTAACTGCAAACTGAACACAGGTACAGAATGTGTCAAAAGACGCAAACAGTAACAGTATCACACTTCTACTTACCTGGCAAGCTCCAGTAGAGACTTCCCACACAGGAAGAAGGCCTCTCCACACTCATCTGCAGTGTCCCCATACCGCTCAGCCCTGAAGGACAAGCGATGTCAGATTAGCAGTACTGGTTGAGGTCAGGTAAAGAACAAATGAATTACATTCATTAAAATGATCCTTGTAACATCAGAAATCCACAATCAATACATGACCCTCATAACATTACAAATCCACAGTCAATCCAAGCATGGACATCACCAGGACCTGGTTGTCGAGGGCTTTAGCCCCGAATGATTTTGGGTCAGCCCCAAATCTTTTGTGCTGCTGCAATGGTGTAAAAAATTTTTGTAGTCAACTGAATGCCCCACTTAGTTCATAGAGCTGTGGTTACGCGAAACTCCCGAAGTCATCCAACCATTATAGACAGGGTTGTAGTGCTGCCGGTGCAGAGCGGAGCGATGCTCTGCCACGTCTCAGAATGGAGCTGAATTAGCATTCTACACAACAACCCGAATATAATAGCATGATCATGTCAGGCTACAGTTATACCAAAAACACCATGTAATTTCTTATTTAGGATGATTGTGCTGAAATGTTGCATTTTCTTTCTCATGCGGTGGCTGTGTTTAACTTCATCTGCTCTAAAAGTGGATTAGTTTGGCTGGTTAGCTACCCTTACTTACATCATCCAAGAAGATCGAAATGCATATTCCCATGAAACTGATTGGGATCAAATGATTGGCATGCATGCAGCATGGACGTTTCACCTGTACAACATGAAGAATTATCATTCACGACTGACAGTGATGGCCTCATTTATAATAATGTAGGTCTAATTTGGTGTTTTAGGATTTAAATATAACATTTCCATTAGCCACTTACAGTATGTGTAGGCATAAGCAATCATGCAACTTGGATGATGTAGCCTATATTCTAAAATGATTTTATAGAAGATGGTACCAACTTTCATTCAGAATGATGGCTTAATAATAATAATAGTGCTCTGGTAGGCAAAGAAAATAATAATAATACCACTACACCACTGGTTATAATAAACGTAAAGCAATTGCCATGTGTGGTCAACTGATAATTCCAGCACCGTTTTCATTGGGACAGCGTCATTGCGCTGCTTTGAGACAAGCATGGGAACTCCATCTTGATAAATCAATGTCACATTTTGGATTTCACTGAATCTCCGTTTCGATATTTGGTTAGAATTAGGCTGGGAAATATTAGATAAGTTGAGGTGAGTGCTCATGATCATTCTAGCAATTGAAAGCAATGCATACATTCTCCACACACACACACACACACACAAGGCCTATAGCCTACATGATGAGCTTCCCTGATCTTTTCCTGAACTTTGATACTTTTCTGATGCATTTCAGTCAGTCAGCCTACTGATGCAAATACACATTTGTACACTTTTCCCATAGCCCTCAAGTCATTTGACATTTTTGCATTGTTCAAAAAGGCCTACATCGTTTCAATAACAATATAGCTGGAACCATTATTGGCTTCATTAACTTATTGAATTTATTTTCGTAATTGTAGGTTAGGCTACTTGCTGATAGATTATTTTATTTAAAAAATTATATAATTTAGGCTACTCCTGTCTCTATAAAGAAATGAAATCATTGAAAATACTACACCAGCATAAGAGCCACAGAGAATCAATAGCTTATTTTTGTATTTAAATGCTGTAGATTGTGTTTTGTCACATTATGAGCACATAGGCCTAGTCTACAGTCAAGAATCACAAATGGGCCGCCTGGCCTGCGTGGCAAATATAAAACAGCTGATTGTTGAGTTGTGGCTGTCAACGAACAGCAGGCAGCGGCTAGAAACTATTTGGCAATATTTCAAAATACAATTGCGGGAAGAATCTGTTTGAATAGGCCTAAGATCTGTGTATCCACTCTTCTCATTGGCCTATGCTATTGGCTGCATTTAAGACATGGGTCATTTGTTTTATTGATCTCAGTATGTAAATGTCAGAGTAAAAATGAAGTAGCCGGCCGCGACCGGGAGACTCATGGGCGGCGCACAATTGGCCCAGCGTCGTCCAGGGTAGGGGAGGGAATGGCCGGCAGGGATGTAGCTCAGTTGATAGAGCATGCCGTTTGCAACGCCAGGGTTGTGGGTTCGATTCCCACGGGGGGCCAGTATAAAAAGATATGCATTCACTAACTGTAAGTCGCTCTGGATAAGAGCGTCTGCTAAATGACTAAAATGTAAAATGAAATTATTTTTTTGAAAATGCCCTTTTTTCCCTCAGACCCACAAACCCCTCGTCTTCAGGACTGAGCCCTGAATGTTATGAAACTTTGGTGACTGCCCTGGATCCAAGCCATTTGTTCTCAGTACTCACAGTATGCCACAAGCCTCCTGGAACACGTGGACTGCAGAAACGACATCCCCCATCACCAGGTGCCTGTTCCCAGCACCGATAAGCTTCTTTGCCTCCGCCATCACATCGACAGAGCTGTGGTACAGACAGGACAGCTACAATAAAAATGTTGTACTAGACTCAAACAAACCTATTGCATGAATAATCAGTGGAGTTAAGACTAAAAGGTACAAGACGAACCCAGTCATAAAATCTGTATAAATTCAAACCAACTAAATCAAAAAGTGCAGTTCCTCACCTGTCTGCTGCCACAGCACTTGATGACCCAGGCTTTTCATCCATGCTGAAACAGTGACACCTGCAGTCAATTATAGACAAGACTACAAAATATTGTCTAGTCAAAGTAACTTCTAGGTAAACTCAGAGTGAACGCTATATAGTTTAGCAGAGGTCATGCAGCTAGGGTTAAACCTTTTCCGGTGCAGGAGGGGTGAAAGTGTCCTTCGAACAACATAACCTTATTATTTTAATGTCAATAGACCCAACGCACCCCCCAAGTAATCTCAGCATGGGAGTGACCATTCTTCTACCCTGCTTCGAACGGAAGTGTTGCTTTTCGGAGATAGGAGCCATCCAGGTAACGTTAAAGTGTTCGACGTGTCTTGACTTGAGACAATTATCAGACATGTCCAGTGCGAGAGAAGCAGGTTGAGGTTTCCAGGGTAAGAGTAGAGAAGAAGTTGTCATATGCGGAGGCAGTGAAGAAAGTTGAGGAAGAGGGGTCAAGGGGGGAGAGTGGTGAGAGTAGGAGATATACCAGTACAGTGGGATAGGCAAGCAAGTGATATATGTTTCAGTAAGATTGGGTTTTTAGCATTTATAGCAATGGTTATTAATTGTACTGCAGGGATGGAATGCAAATCGAAGAAAATTGAGGTTGTGGTGGCAGCTGCAGAGATATTTGGTTGTGCGAGACTTGGTCTAAGGCACTGCATCGCAGTGCTAGCTGTGCCACTAGAGATCCTGGTTCGAGTCCAGACTCTGTCGCAGCCAGCCGCGACCGGGAGACCCATGGGCGGCGCACAATTGGTCCAGCGTAGTCCAAGGTAGGGGAGGGTTTGGCCGGCAGGGATGTGGGTTTGTTTCCCACGGGGGGCCAGTATGAAAAAAAAAAAAAAAATAAAACACATGTATGCATTCACTAACTGTAAATCGCTCTGGATAAGAGCGTCTGCTAAATGACTAAAATGTCAATGTAAGAGTTACCGGGAATGTTTAGTGGTGGTGTCCCATCCTTTCAGGTTGAGGGCATGAGGTAGGAGTGAGTATATTTAAATAGTGGAGAAGGGTGGGGTTAATTATTAGTAGTAGTTTTGAAGTTGAGTGTAGTGTTAGACGGTAGGATATTTCTTTGTTTTATTTTATTTTTCAAGGAAAGATAAGGGAGTTGTACTCCAGTCTAGTAGGTGGCGGTAATGCAACAAATTGGATGCCAACCGCCGTTAAACCTAATTGAAGAAGAAGACTTGAGACAATTAACAAAGTTGAGTTGAACAACTGGTGAGCTGGATAGCTAAAAGTAGCGTTCGTTGTTTAGCTAAAGAAAGCTTTGGAAAATGTTCCTAGTTAGCATCATAGCTATGTCACTCCAGCGAGCACGTGCATTTCTTGAGTACCAGGCAGTAGACGAATTGCTTCATGCTTTGCTAGCTAGTTCACTAGCCAATTAGGTAACCAGTTCGGGTTAACTAGCCAAGTTAGCTAATTAGAGAACGTTGGCAACGAAAATTAACATTACCTAGCATGTGTAACAGATCGTCACGTCCAATTTGAGGTAGCTAATAATTAACGTTAGCTAAAACAAGGATAGTGTAACGCAGTTAACGACAATTAGCTAGCTAGCTAAGGTTAACCATCCACGAATCACATCAATTGGGCTAATTTAGTGTGTTCGTAAATTCAATCTGGAGTGCCAGAGTGCGCTCTGGTCGAGGAGTAGGGTTGATCTGAGCGTACTGACTTCACAACGCAGTCAAACATCCAAGCTAACGTTGTCTAACTTACTAGGTACGAACGCACCCTAAGTAGTTAGTTGGGTGGCCTTAGTTGGAGCGGAACGTCTTGTAGTTAGTTGCATTGTTTTTGAATGGGAACATTAGTTACAAGTTTCGGCTAACTATATCGGCAGCTAGCTAGTACACAACGGCTTAAAGACACTGGTGATTAGCTAGATACTGTAACTAATTAGTTATCAATTAAAACAAGTTAACTAGCTTCTAGCTAACACAGCAGAGAGGGATAGGCGAGACCTAGGCGAAGGCACACAAACAAATATCATACAAAATGTCTCACCTTCCTGAGCTTGAAGCAGCTGCTGTTTCCTCTGTCATGTTAGTTACGTGACTGACTGAGCATACAGCGTAGTGTAGCTAACTAAATGAACACAGATTTTCCAGGAAAATGTCAGGGTAAGTGCCTGTTCTTTCTTTCACTATTCTTTGTTGGCGCGTTTGCTGACACCGTGTACACTTCCGTTGAACTTTCAACTTGATTAAACGCGGGAGAAAATATTAAAGGGAAAGTAACATGATACAATGTAACGTTCTTAAATCATCTGAAAGAATGCCATTCAACTGCTAAATCAATCCATTGCATGTAGCCGACTGTTTAAAACGGGTGAATTTCCCCCCTCCCCATGGGACTTTTACAGGGCTAGTCCTTGGCGCCCCCTGACAACGTAATTCTACGCGGCTGACTACAGATCAGAACATTCTAGGTTCGACTCCTGGCTCGCTCATACATTTCACTTCCGAACTGGTCTTTAGGTAGACAGCAATAATCAACATGTACCTTTGAAAGTGCAACATTTATATAAAAAGCTTCCCACCTAGCACAATAATTAATAAAATCAACCAAAACAACTCATAATCAGAATCCTTCTTTCCATCCAGGTGGTCCGGGTTTGTGGTGTGCAACAGGATATCCCCAACAGGATATTTCTTTGTCTAGCTGGGATATAGTCTTGTCTGGGACAAGAGCATAAAACTGCTGCAGCTGTATACTAGTCTCTAAATAGTGTTCTGTACTATGTTGAGCTGGTGGGATGTACAGTTGAAGTCGTACGTTTACATACACTCGTTTTTCAACCACTCCACAAATGTCTTGTTAACAAACTATAGTTTTGGCAAGTCAGTTAGGACATCTACTTTGTGCATGACACAAGTAATTTTTCCAACAATTGTTTACAGACAGATTATTTCACTTATAATTCACTGTATCCAGTGGCGGCTCCTGAAAAAATTCTCAGGAGGGGCAATTTTTCTGATGATTTAGGTGACCTACACACATTTTAAAAAAGATATGTCCAGCAACAACATGAAGACAGGGGCAGCATATAAGTCAATACCAGAAGCATTTATTGACTGATCTGGGGAGATGGATTCCAGTTTCTGTGACAGATTATAAATAATCTCTGATGCCTTTGTTATATTAGCTTTTGGTTGAATGTACTGTCGTAGTAAATATATAATGTTATAGCTTGGTCTGACTAAAATCTTGTGCATGACCCATTTTGTGTTGGGCGTTTGTTTTCAATCAATGCTGTTCCTATCCTATAACAATGGACAAAAGAGTCCTATCTTGTCAGCCTTGTCAGCAGGTGGCCAAGGACAACACCCACGCCATAGGTCTCTCAGTTCTTCCAACTCACGAGTTCTTGCTCTGAGGACACACACACACACACACATCATCACTGATAACACACACACACACACACACACACACACACATCATCACTGTTAAACACACACACACACACACATCATCACTGTTAAACACACACACACACACACAAAAATCCCCTCTCTTTAGGCTGAACATTTGAAGACAGAGAACCCGACTCAGAGCCAATGCAACAGTGGAGGGGACCTCGCCCAACTCATCAGGACCAATCAGAAGATCAGAACTACTAGATTCAACCTACATCATTTATTGTATAAAATGTCAGCACACAATGTTTTCGGGGCTCTCTTCAGATAGCTCCCTAAGAGTTTGACGAACGAGTCCGTGCACGCGATTCCAGATATCTTTACCTCTGAATAAACTGCCTTTATTATACCATATCCACCCTGTCCAAAGTCTCTACTTGGTCTCAGTTCTCCAGTAAACTTGTGATTATCAACAGTACACAACGGTAACAAACAATTGGGGGAACTCACGGGGCAGATAGTAAGGTCACAGTGACACAGAAAGCAGTTCAATGTCGGGGCTCGGGGGTACAGAGTCGCTCTCTTACCAGGATCGATTTTCCCTGTGACTGTCAGATCGAGGTCCGCTCCGACCAGGGTGAAGCCGGCCGGCTCCACTTCTCTGTCCGGGACTCTGTCATCCAGCCAAGTCTCCCAGCTGTATTGGATTCCGCTGCCAGCAACGTTTTCATTATTTAGTCCGTTCGTAGCGGGTATGTACACGATCAACAAGATCAGTCCAAAACCCACCACTCGAAATCCATGGTTGGCAGAATGTTTGTAAACTAAGTGTACAAATTAAAAACATAAAATAACGCCACTAAGTGTACAAATTAAAAACATAAAATAACGCCACACTGCAGGTCGCAAAGAGACGCTGCTAGCCGCTATTTGCTTAGTTACGTTCATGGTTACGTCACGTATGACGAAAGCGCGTAAGTGCAAGCCCACAGACACCCATAGAGAATGTATTGAAAGCTTTGAAATTTGAAAAAAATAGATTTTACATGACAGGCTATGAGAGACTTCTGGGCGATTTTCAACCTGACTGAAATCGCCCAAAAACGGGCGGGGCCATTTGAAGCACGACTTTAGCCTGATTTGACATTTAGTGGCAGTCAGATCAGATTACAACACTGATAACTACTGTTGCCGTGATATAATTGATTAGAAAAAAAATCCCTTCCTTTTCCCGTTTGGCAGTGCGTCGCCCATATCGCCCTATTGAACAGGCCGTCCCTGACTGTATCACAATTACAGTGGGTCAGAAGTTTACATACACTAAGTTGACTGTGCCTTTAAACAGCTTGGAAAATTCCAGAAAATGATGTAATGTCTTTAGAAGCTTCTGATAGGCTAATTGACATCATTTGAGTCAATTGGAGGTGTATCTGTGGATGTATTTCATGGCCTACCTACCTCTTTGCTTGACATCTTGGGAAAATCAAAAGAAATCAGCCAAGACCTCCACAAGTCTGGTTCATCCTTGGGAGCAATTTCCAAACGCCTGAAGGTACCACGTTCATCTGTACAAACAATAGTATGCAAGTATAAACACCATGGGACCACACAGCCGTCATACCGCTCAGGAAGGAGATGCGTTCTGTCTCCTAGAGATGAACGTACTTTGGTGCAAAAAGTGCAAATAAATCCCTTAACAAAATAGATGTCATCATGAGGAATGGAAAACTATGTGGATATATTGAAGCAACATCTCAAGACATCAGTCAGGAAGTTAAAGCTTGGTCGCAAATGGGTCTTCCAAATGGACAATGACCCCAAGCATACTTCCAAAGTTGTGGCAAAATGGCTTAAGGACAACAAAGTCAAGGTATTGGAGTGGCCATCACAAAGCACTGACCTCAATCCTATAGAACATTTGTGGGAAACGGAAAAAGTGTGTTTGAGCAAGGAGGCCTACAAACCTGACTCAGTTACACCAGCTCTGTCAGGAGGAATGGGCCAAATTCACCCAACTTATTGTGGGAAGCTTGTGGATGGCTACCTGAAAAGTTTTACCCAAGTTAAACAATTTAAATGCCACCAAATACTAATTGTGTGTATGTAAACTTCTGACCCATTGGGAACGTGATGAAATAAATAAAAGCTGAAATAAATCTCTCTACTTATTATTCTGACATTTCACATTCTTAAAATAAAGTGGTGATCCTAACTGACCTAAGACAGGGTATTTTTTTACTAGGATTAAATGTCAGGAATTGTGAAAAAACGGAGTTTAAATGTATTTGGCTAAGGTGTGTGTAAACTTCCGACTTCAACTATAGGTACTGGGCATGGTGAACGATGGGTTAAATACATTACAAAACACAGCTGTATAATGATTTATAACACTGCATTTCCATAAACATTTCAAGTCAGTGCTTTTGTGCAGCCTGAGTCAGAAAGCAGGTCAGTTTAGTGTTTACACTGTTTAGACTGGTTTTCCCTTCAAGTAAAGATGCATTTTAATTACCAATCAGCAAATCAAATAACAAATCACTCACAAGGGCAGTAACAAAACATTTTTATTACGAAGTACACAGATGCTATGTCCTAGTACTCTCATAAAGCACTCTTTCCCTGTCACCACACCCCCATGACAACTGATCTGACAGGAGCTGGACTTTTTCTACCAACCTTCTTTCCCCTAAAAAAAGACAAATCAGTTGTCCACACAGGATTGTGACGAAAGGAAGCCATTTCATCGAATTGGGACACAGCCTTGGAAGGGGAGGGGGTTCCCAAGGCACAAAAGCGGGCAGCAATTTGGGGATTTACTCAGTAGGGGTCAATGAAGGGGTAGTGTGGATGTCCGGCATCCCTGGGGACGGGCATCCCATCAACCTGCAACAACAATTGGAAAACAGTCACGAGCTAGCCAGGAGTCTGACATAGAATCTTCTGATCCGTAGTCAGATGCGTAATCCCTTGTGCCACTAGCCCAATGACAACTGCTATAGTGAAATATCAACAGAGACACTGCATTTTGGTTACTTTCTTCAACTGATTACATACAACAGATATAGTATTAGCTCTCTATGAAACATTTAACCATTGTGAGCTGGCCATCACATAACCCATAGAATTCCAATGACATTCTCTGGTCTCACATTCATTGTACACAAATATACCAGTAGAGGGAGCTCTAAAACCACTCACTGTGATGGTTGGTACAATGTAGCGCCAGCCTTTGTTCAATTCCGTTATACACTTCATCTCTTCTGCTTCAAGGGTAAAATCAAACACCTGAGGATACACACACATTTTAGATTACGAGTCCACTCGGTAGTCAAATAAATCATATTACAGGATTGCACAATGGGACTTATGAAAACAGTTATGATGGGTAGGAATAGTAGTAGTAAGAGTTTTGGTTTCTTGCAGTAGTAGACTTAATTGTGCAGCAATTTACAATTATAGATCGTCATCAAACAGAATACTATAACACAATAATCCACCTGGATATTCTCTTTGATCCGAGACTCTGTCACACTTTTGGGGATCGTCACCACTCCTCGCTGCGTCTGCCATCTAGAAAAGAGACAAGATGTACATGGTTTGGTTTGAGAGACCAAATAGGTTACATGAAAAGCAAGATCTGATTACTAGACCATATGAGTGTTTTATGAATTTATTTTATGAATTATTGTGCTAAAATCGGGAGGTCTTGATATATCATACTGGTATATTTATCCTGCCTACCTAAAGAGAAATTGGGATATTATTGAAAAAAGTCTAGAATCTTCTGATCTGTAGTCAGACGCATTGTTAACCATTGTGCCACTAGCCCGCTGATTGGCTCAAGGCAAGGTGTGTGTTTTTGTTTGTGTATTTATTTTACACCCATTTCACTGTACAGACGCGAGAGGATGTGTTGATCACCTCTTAAGTTGTGGAACACAGGGCATCACTATCCTGCTGATAGGCTCATGGCATAATATCAGTTTATATTCCATAGATAATCAATGTATTACTGGGGTCTTTATTTCTGGCATTTGATATGACATGGGGATGCTGGGTTATCATTGAGTAAAGAGTACTAGGCTAGAACATTATATAACATTACTCACCTAATGATGATTTGTGCTGGGGACTTGTTGTACTTCCTGGCCAGGGTGTTGATGGCTGGTTCGTCCAGGAGGACGGGCTCGTCAGGATGCTTCCATGCCCGATCCGGTGACCCCAGTGGACTGTACGCTGTCATCACCAGGCCCCTGTCCCGGCAGTGTCGCAGCAACTCCACCTGAGCCAGATACGGATGACTTTCCACCTGAAAAACAGAAACAGAAACCACAACTGTCAGCGGGCTAGCAATGGATGACTACGGATCAGAAGATTCTAGGTTTGACTCCTGGCTAGCGATTAAACTTTTTCAATATTTTACCAACTGATCTTTAGGTAAGGAGGAATAATGTACACACAGCACATGCCACATATCAAGACCCCCCCCCCCCCCCCCCCAGCTAGCAAAACTCAAACCAAACTAAACAAAAACAGAGTGGCGCAGTGGTCTAAGGCACTGCATCGCAGTGCTAGCTGTGCCACTAGAGATCCTGGTTCGAATCCAGGCTCTGTCGTAGCCGGCCGGGACCGGGAGACCCATGGGGCGGCGCACAATTGGTCCAGGGTAGGGGAGGGAATGGCCGGCAGGGATGTAGCTCAGTTGGTAGAGCATGGCGTTTGCAACGCCAGGGTTGTGGGTTCGATTCCTACGGGGGGCCAGTATGAAAAATAAAAAAATAATGTATGCACTCACTAACAGTAAGTCGCTCTGGATAAGAGCGTCTGCTAAATGACTAAAATGTAAATGTAAATATGTTCTAATATTTAACCGTCAACAAACAAACACTTGCTGTATTTCTGACAGGGACAGGAAGAGACGGGAGGGTTGTATACAAAGGATATTGGAGGAGAGATGGACTGTGAGAAGACTGGTTGTGGTAGTGACAAAGAGACCAAAAACAAACACCACCCCTTTCAGTGGGCAAGTGGCGCAATGGATAACGCACCTGACTACGGATCAGAACATTCTAGGTTCGACTCCTAGCTAGCTTGTAAACCTTTTAAATAGTTTCTCAATTGATCTTCAGCTTGGAGGGTTTCCATTAGCTGATAATAGCCGGCTTTTGGCCTTTAAAAAAATAGAAAAGCCGATAAATAAAAAATAAATAAATAATCAATAAAATAATGCTTTTTAGCATATTCATTGATGGGAATACCAGTTGATGGAAATACATTTGACCGGTCATGCTTATCGGTCTATGGGTTAATTTGCATAATTTTGTGGAATTAAATTGTCTCGTGTTTATTCGTTATGTATCTTATTTATCACACGCACAGCATACAGATACAGAGCCTTTAAGCAGAACATCTGTCAGCCCAATCATTGCGCAACCATTCTAAATGCAATCATGTGTACAAAATAGTTTTTGGGCCACGATTAAAAAGAGCTAATATTTGTATTTCTCAACCGGTAATTGAAGCATTCTTCCCATTCACCATTCAAATGCATTGGCAACAGAAGGCAGGCTTCATCAGCGCATCACACCACTTTGCAATGAGCTGGTGGCAGTATGCATTTTGAAAACATATAGCTACTTAAATAGTTGGAAACCTGAATGTTTTACAAAATGTTATGAGGCATGTTTTACCTTGCTTCAATGTAGCCTAGGCAAAATCGTACCATATCTGTGGAGGCAATTATTCTATATAGACTTCCATATGCAATTGAAACCAGTAGCCTATTTCTCTCATGTTCTTTTGTTTTCCATTTTTCTTTCATTGTCCGGGAGCCAGACAGTTTGGAAAGGAAATGGCTATTGCTGCAAAAAGAAGACAATGAAAATACTTCTGTCTTTTAGTTATCAAAATTCTCAACTTAATTGAGCGAACAACAGTAGGCCTATAACCTATCTTAATGACACTAGCGGAGAGCATCGGCCAAATCCCCGGTGAGTGTGCACTGCGCATACTCACTCTTTATCATGTTGGGTCAGTGCCACTTAAAAGTTTGTTTTTTGGACAATCATATCCTCCTTCAGTTTTGATGGACGTCATATTCTATTTCTGTCTCCCCTTCTCGTAGGCCTATATGGACGTCGTTTTTATTGATTGTTTGTCAGTGTCGGCGGAGTAGGCTACCCTGTAATTTGTCGTATTAAAAAAGATTCTGTCTCCAGTCATATAAAGTGTAGTAAAATTGCATGAAATGTGTTTTTTCCATGCAAACAAAGAAGAAAAGTATGATATAGCTCAGGCCTCTACACTATACGCGCTCAGCCATGAATTGAACGGTCTTTTTGCAAGTGATTGAGTTATATTATTAGCCTAAATTATGATTATCCAATCTACACATCACGAATAGTAGGCGATCTTACATAAGTCTGCAAAAGGTGCATTTTTATGGTGAACATTTGCTTCCCCAAACTTGAAAGTCGCGCTCCGCCTAAGCATAGGATAGTGATTTTGCTGTTCGTTACTCATCTTGTTGGCTGAGGAAAAGTAAATATGGACAGTTATACTATCTTCAAAATGTGCAGTAAGGACACACCTCATTGCATCCTCGACTTGCATTTTCTGTTAAGATGAATTACCATAATATAAATGAAATTTCTGTCATTCTGTGCACCGTGGGTGGACACCCTAATCAGGTTACACACCCAATGTATATGGGTCTGGTACATATCTCAACTGTCCGGTAAATTAAAATGCAGCTGGTCAAACGACCGGCGCCACATTTTCATAACGGAAATCCTGGTAGCTAGGTATAATGTACGCACAGTCAGCACAACAGATCTCCTCCTTACCTGAAGCACAGTGGGTTTGATGTTGGCTACAGACAGCACGTCGTCTATCTGTTTGCTGTTGAAGTTGGACAGGCCGATAGCCCTGATCATGCCCTTCCCCACCAGCTTCTCCATGGCAGCCCAAGTCAGCTTGTAGTCGATGTCGTCATACAGCAGGGTGCCGTCCTCTGACTTGGGGAAAGGAGCGTCACCTTGTCTGTGGGAAAGGGGAAGAACGGGCAAAATGTTAACATTGAACAGTATAGGATGCCCATACAGTTACACTAATGTGAATTGATCATTGTAAACATTCTTATAGCAAGTTTAATACCCAAATTGAAATTAATTTAAAAGGAAATTCTGCTAGTGTCTGGCAATTCTATACATTTATTTGCTGTATCATGTTCACTAAGGCTAGTTATTATGCCTCTCCAGAACCCATGATGGAAGCTACTCACTGGAAGGCATAGGGCCAGTGGATGAGGTAGAGATCCAGGTACTCCAGCCTCAGCTCCTTCAGTGTCTTCAGCAGAGCGGGCTCCACATCCTCTGGGTGATGCTGTGTGTTCCACAGCTTAGAGGTGATAAACACATCCTCTCGCCTCAGGGCCTGTATACAGAGACAGGTGTAAACAAAGAAACACACACACACACACCTTTACTTGACCCCATCAGCGAGCTAGTGGCACAATGGATAACATGTCTGACACAAGTCAAATATATATATACATACACATACAGTTGAAGTCGGAAGTTTACATACACCTTAGCCAAATACATTTAAACTCAGTTTTTCACAATTCCTGACATTTAATCCTAGTAAGAATTCCCTGTCTTAGGTCAGTTAGGATCACCACTTTATTTTAAGAATGTGAAATATCAGAATATTAGTAGAGAGAATGATTCATTTCAGCTTTTATTTATTTATTTCATCACATTCCCAGTGGGTCAGAAGTTTACATACACTCAATTATTATTTGGTAGCATTGCCTTTAAATTGTTTAACTTGGGTCAAACGGTTCGGGTAGCCTTCCACAAGCTTCCCACAATAAGTTGGGTGAATTTTGGCCCATTCCTCCTGACAGAGCTGGTGTAACTGAGTCAGGTTTGTAGGCCTCCTTGCTGGCACACGCCTTTTCAGTTCTGCCCACACATTTTCTATAGGATTGAGGTCAGGGCTTTGTGATGGCCACTCAAATACCTTGACTTTGTTGTCCTTAAGCCATTTTGCCACAACTTTGGAAGTATGCTTGGGGTCATTGTCCATTTGGAAGACCCATTTGCGACCAAGCTTTAACTTCCTGACTGATGTCTTGAGATGTTGCTTCAATATATCCACATAATTTTCCTTCCTCATGATGACATCTATTTTGTGAAGTGCACCAGTCCCTCCTGCAGCAAAGCACCCCGACAGCATGATGCTGCCACCCCCGTGCTTCACGGTTGGGATGGTGTTCTTCTGCTTGCAAGCAACCCCCTTTTTCCTCCAAACATAACGATAGTCATTATGGCCAAACAGTTCTATTTTGGTTTCATCAGACAAGAGGACATTTCTCCAAAAAGTACGATCTTTGTCCCTATGTGCAGTTGCAAACCATAGTCTGGCTTTTTTATGGCGGTTTTGGAGCAGTGGCTTCTTCCTTGCTGAGCGGCCTTTCAGGTTATGTCGATATAGGACTCGTTTTACTGTGGATATAGATACTTTTGTACCGGTTTCCTCCAGCATCTTCACAAGGTCCTTTGCTGTTGTTCTGGGATTGATTTGCACTTTTTGCACCAAAGTATGTTCATCTCTAGGAGACAGAATGCGTCTCCTTCCTGAGCGGTATGACGGCTGCGTGGTCCCATGGTGTTTATACTTGTGTACTATTGTTTGTACAGACGAACGTGGTACCTTCAGGCGTTTGGAAATTGCTCCCAAGGATGAACCAGACTTGTGGAGGTCTACAAAAAACTTTTTTTGTTGATTTCTTTTGATTTTTTTCCCATGATGTCAAGCAAAGAGGCACTGAGTTTGAAGGTAGGCCTTGAAATACATCCACAGGTACACCTCCAATTGACTCAAATGATGTCAATTAGCCTATCAGAAGCTTCTAAAGCCATGACATCATTTTCTGGAATTTTCCAAGCTGTTTAAAAGGCACAGTCAACTTAGTGTATGTAAACTTCTGACCCACTGGAATTGTGATAGACTGTGTAAACATTTGTTGGAAAAATTACTTTTGTCATGCACAAAGTAGATGTCCTAACAGACTTGCCAAAACTATAGTTTGTTAACAAGAAATTTGTGGAGTGGCTGAAAAATTTGTTTTAATGACTCCAACCTAAGTGTATGTAAACTTCCGATCTCAACTGTATCTATCTATCTATATATACACTACCAGTCAAAAGTTTGGACACACCTACTCATTCAAGGGTTTTTCTTTATTTTTACATTGTAGAATAATAGTGAAGACATCAAAAGTATGAAATAACACATGAAATCATGTAGTAACCAAAAAAGTGTTAAACAAATCTAAATACATTTTATTTCAAATAGCCACCCTTTGCCTTGATGACAGCTTTGCACACTCTTGGAATTCTCTCAACCAGCTTCATGAGGTAGTCACCTGGAATGCATTTCAGTTAACAGGTGTGCCTTCTTAAAAGTTAATTTGTGGAATTTCTTTCCTTCTTAATGCGTTTCAGCCAATCAGTTGTGTTGTGACAAGGTAGGGGTGGTATACAGAAGATATCCCTATTTGGTAAAAGACCAAGTCCATATTATGTCAAGAACAGCTCAAATAAGCAAGGAGAAACGACAATCCATCATTACTTTAAGACATGCAGGTCAGTCAATACGGAACATTTCAAGAACTTTGAACGTTTCTTCAAGTGCAGTCGCAAAAACCATCAAGCGCTATGATGAAACTGGCTCTCATGAGGCCTGCCACAGGAATGGAAGACCCAGAGTTAGGATAAGTTCAGAGTTACCAGCCTCAGAAATTGCAGCCCAAATAAATATTTTGCAGAGTTCAAGTAACAGACACATCTCAACATCAACTGTTCAGAGGAGACTGTGTGAATCAGGCCTTCATGGTCGAATTGCTGCAAAGAAACCCCTACTAAAGGACACCAATAAGAAGAAGAGACCTGCTTGGGCCAAGAAACACAAGCAATAGACATTAGACCAGTGGAAATTTGTCCTTTGGTCTGGAGTCCAAATTTGGAGATTTTTGGTTGCAACCACCGTGTCTTTGTGAGACGCGGTGTGGGTGAACGGATGATCTCTGCATGTGTAGTTCCCACCGTAAAGCACCACTGAGGTGGTGTTATGGTGTGGGGGTGCTTTGCTGGTGACACTGTCTATGATTTATTTAGAATTCAAGGCACACTTAACCAGCATGGCTACCACAGCATTCTGCAGTGATATGCCATCCCATCTGGTTTGGGCTTAGTCCCACTATCATTTGTTTTCAACAGGACAATGACCCAACACACCTCCAGGCTGTGTAAGGGCTATTTTACCAAGAAGGAGAGCGATGGAGTGCTGCATCAGATGATCTGGCCTCCACAATCCCCCGACCTCAACCCAATTGAGATGGATTGGAATGAGTCGGACGGCAGAGTGAAGGAAAAGCAGCCAACAAGTGCTCAGCATATGTGGGAACTCCTTCAAGACTGTTGGAAAAGCATTCCAGGTGAAGCTGGTTGAGAGAATGCAAAGCTGTCAAAGTCAAAGGGTGGCTATTTGAAGAATCTCAAATATAAAATATATTTCGATTTGTTTAACACTTTGTTGGTTACTACATGATTCCATGTGTCATTTCATAGTTTTGGATGTCTTCACTATTATTCTACAATGTAGAAAATAGTAAAAATAAAGAAAAACCCTTGAATGAGTAAGTGTGTCCAAACTTTTGACTGGTACTGATATATACACACACACACACACATACACAGTGCCTTCGGGAATTATTCAGACCCCTTGACCTTTTCCACATTTAGTTACATTACATTCTTATTCTAAAATGGATTTTTTTTTTTTATATCTCAGCAATGTACACACAAAACCCCATAATGATAAAGCAAAAACAGTTCAGACATTTTTGCAAATGTATTAAAAATTCAAAACAGAAATACTTTATTTACATAAGTAATCAGACCCTTTGCTATGAGACTCGAAATTGAGCTCAGGTGCATCCTGTTTCCATTGACCATCCTTCAGATGTTTCTACAACTTGATTAGAGTCCACCTGTGGTAAATTCAATTGATTGGACATGATTTGGAAAGGCACACACCTGTCTGTATAAGGTCCCACAGTTGACAGTGTATGTCAGACCAAAAACCAAGCCACGAGGTCGAACGAATTGTCCGTAGACCTCAGAGACAGGATTGTGTCGAGGCACAGATCTGGGGAAGGGTACCAAAAAATGTCTGCAGCATTGAAGGTCCCCAAGAACACAGTGGCCTCCATCATTCTTAAAATGGAAGAAGTTTGGAACCACCAAGACTCTTCCTGGAGCTGGCCGCCTGGCCAAACTGAGCAATCGGGGGAGAAGGGCCTTGGTTAAGGGAGGTGACCAAAAACCTGATGGTCCTTCTGACAGAGTCCCAGAGTTCCTCTGTGGAGATGGGAGAACCTTCCAGAAGGACAACAATCTCTGCAGCACTCCACCAATCAGGCCTTTATGGTAGAGTGGCCAGACGGAAGCCACTCCTCAGTAAAATGCACATGACAGCCCGCTTGGAGTTTGCCAAAAAGGAATCGAAAGATTCTCAGACCATGAGAAACAAGATTCTCTGGTCTGATGAAACCAAGATTGAACACTGGCCAGAATGCCAACTGTCACATCTGGAGGAAACCTGGCACCATCCCTGAAGCATGGTGGTGGCAGCATCATGCTGTGGGGATGTTTTTCAGCGGCAGGGACTGGGAGACTAGTCATGATCGAGGGAAAGATGAACGGAGCAAAGTACAGAGAGATCCTTGATGAAAACCTGCTCCAGAGCGCTCAGGACCTCAGACTGGGGTCGAAAGTTCACCTTCCAACTGGACAATGACCGTAAGCACACAACCAAGACAAACGCAGGAGTGGCTTCGGTACAAGTCTCTGAATGTCCTTGTGTGGCCCAGCCAGAGCCCGGACTTGAACCTGATCGAAAATCTCTGGAGAGACCTGACAATAGCTGTGCAGCGACGCTCCTCATCCAACCTGACAGAGCTTGAGAGGATCTGCAGAGAAGAATGGGAGAAACTCCCCAAATACAGGTGTGCCAAGCTTGTAGCGTCATGCCCAAGAAGACTCGAGGCTGTAATCACTGCGAAAGGTGCTTCAACAAAGTTACTGAGTAAAGGGTCTGAATACATATGTAAATGTGATTTCAGTTTTTTACTTTTAATAAATGTGCAAACATTTCTAAAAACCTGTGTTTGCTTTGTCATTATGGGGTATTGTGTTACCTTTATTTAACTAGGCAAGTCAGTTAAGAACAAATTCTTATTTACAATGACGGCCTACACCGGTCAAACCCGGACGACGCTGGGCCAATTGTGCGCCGCCCTATGGGACTCCCAATCACGGCCGGTTGTGATACAGCCTGGAATCGAACCAGGGGGTCTGTAGTGACGCCTCAAGCACTGAGATGCAGTGCCTTAGACCACTGCGCCACTCGGGAGCCCATAAGGCTGTAACGTAACAAAATGTGGAAAAAGTCAAGGGGTCTGAATACTTTCCGGGGTCTGAATACTGCTCGTTCTAAATAGTATAATCTAATCTGTTGAAAACAGTGGCAGCATGTGCTGCAGTGGTCATTCAGTTTTTGACATGCAAATGTAAAATAGGTGTATTTATCCTGTTGTTCAAATGCACACATCGTTTTTTATATATATATATATATATATATATTCTCAAAGAAACTACCGGTAGTTCAAAAACTTGGCATCATATTTCTGTCATGCTGCTTTGTTGACAACTCCAACCACCTCGCGCCCCGGGTATTCAGCCAATCAGCGGCCGCCGTGGACTAGCACATCTCTGTCCTTCTCAGTATCTGCCGATGATGTCTATGGTATCTACATTGATAAGCCTTAGATACCATTCTCCTAACTCTGGGCCAGGGCGTTAAGTGTTTGCTTGAGCCTTCTTCAACAACCATTGAAGAAGAAGAAGAAGAAGACGACTCAAGCCGCATGTAACGCCCTGGACCAGAGCTATCATGTTTCTTGGTGTTGGCTTACTTTGTCAGGGCCAAGCGTCTCCTGTAGAGCCTCTCCGATCTCCACCTCGTTGCCATAGATGGCAGCACAGTCGATGTGACGGTAGCCAGCCTGCAAGGCCCACACCACTGCCTGTTTCACCTGGAATACAGCACAACCCAAGAAGACAATCATTGTTAAAGACCCCATCAGCAAGCCCATAATGATACTACACTAAATTAGTTGGGATAAATAATTCATCCAAAAGATTAATGGTTAATCAATCACGTGTGAGGCACCTACCTTGCCAGGTTCGCTCTTCCATGTTCCTAGCCCGAGGAGAGGCATTTTCCGCCCGGTGTTGAGAACTGCAAAGTCATTTTTACCTGCCACTGCCATGTGTACCTGAAAGACAGGGCAGAAGACAGATGCCACAGCCGTTGGGATATTCACATTGTGGATCTCAATAGTGTTAAGTAGCTCTTCTTGTGTCCTCTCCATGATCACATTGAAAACCTATCCAGTACCTTCAACTGCTTGTGGTAAAGAAAAGGAGACAATTTAAGGAACCAAATATCCTGCCCAGCACTCACCCTGGCCTGATCCTCCTGCCTCTGGTTCATAGAACTTCTGACTGTCAGCTAATCTTTATTAACCAGAACTAAAGGCTTGCGTAATTGGCCAGCTGCTCGAATACGGTTCTATGGTACCAGTTATGTTCACATAGATCACAAGAGAGTAACTGTCAGCGCGCTACTGTTTCCACAGCTGCACGTGATGAATCCACAACTGGACCTTGACCGTCGGGTACTGGTCTAGAACGACTTCCTCCTTCACCATGCAGTTGAGTTTAGTCAGCTAGAATCACTGGCTACAATAGGCTAGCCTATTGTACTTTTTCTTAGTTAATATTCCATACTAGAAATAAGACCCGTTTCTAATAGATGGAATTACAGTCACAGTGAAATTGGTCCAATAATAGTTCCAATTACCCAGTAGAAATGTTGATAATTAAAAATCAAGGTGGGGAATAGGAAGAAGAAACCGGCTGCAGTCAGACAAAGCATGTGTAATCAATTTGCAATAAACGGGGTAGGGTGGACAAATGTATAACTGTTGCGGACTGTCTGTCAGATTTACAATGCCAGATATTAGATATGCACAAAGGCAATCAATCGTCCAACAAAAGGACACGCAATGGCATTGCATCGTGCAATAATCATGCATACTGGAATAAGCAACCCAAATGTCAGTGCATGATGATGTTTTCATTGACATTCCCTTCGCCTACATTATTAGCGATTGAACGTTTAACGTAATTTCTCTCACTTTAGTTAACTCACCTGTTTTACAGAACATTTTTACACGATTGAGAACAGATCATCGATATTTTAATTGCTGATTTTTCGCCCAGTGCCACCTACAGTAATTGAAATCAACACAATCCACTGTCGTAACAAAACGACAAGCAGCTGTATTCAAACATTTCCCACTTACTGTTACAGGTATCAGTCAGCAAAACAACCTATATATTCTTCAACGGCCGGGTCACAAATATAAAATGTTTAGCTGTTAAAAAAAATCTAGAATTCATTTTGCTAACATTTCCGTTTCCGGAGTTTGATCGCATTTTCTCCTTATGCAGTCGAATACGCTGAGGTATAATGCCGCATTCACAACAACTGGGAACTCGCAAAAAGCGAGCTCCGACCGGAAAACACGGGCCTCTTTCTAGAGCGCCGACGTTCCTACCGATCACTGACGTCATTAATTTAACTCAGAAAAAATTTGGTCAATTCATGACGTCAGTGATCTTCAGGTCGGAAAGTTGGAGCTTTAGAAAGAGGCCAGAGTTCCCGACTTGGAATTCCGAATTGGATGACCGTTAAAAAGATGTTCCCAGTCTGAGTTAGTTTTTTTTCCAGTTCCCAGTTGTTTTGAATGCGGCATAAAGAACGGTCGGAGACCGTCCACAGATACGGCTCCTTGTCTCCATTGTGCAAGGAGCAGGAAGTGGTCATGGCTAAACTGTGGGAATTTCCACATGTAGTTGATAAACATCAAATACACAGGAAGGCCAAAAAGATCAGCAAGGACAACAACCACCCGAGCCACTGCCTGTTCACCCCGCTATCATCCAGAAGGCGAGGTCAGTACAGGTGCATCAAAGCTGGGACCGAGAGTCTGAAAAACATCTTCTATCTCAAGGCCATCAGACTGTTAAAAAGCCATCACTAGGCAGCTTCCACCGGTTATGTAACCATGCACCTTAGAGGCTGCCCCATTGACATAGACTTGAAATCACTGGCCACTTTAGTAATGGAACACTAGTCACTCTAATAATGTTTACATATTTTTGCTTTACTCATCTCATATGTATATACTGTATTATATTCTACTGTATTTTAGTCTATGCCACTCAGGCATTGCTCATCCTAATATTTGTAATATTTATATATTCCTTAATTCCATTATTTTACTTTTAGGTTGTGTGTATTGTTGTGAATTGTTAGATATACTGCACTGTTGGAGCCATAACACAATCATTTCGCTACACCTGCAATAACATCTGCTAAACATGTGTATGTGACAAATAAAATGTCATTTCATTTTATTTTGACAGCTGTCAGTGGAGCTAGCTAGCACTAACCTTAATGAGCTAGGTATCTTGCTAATGTTATCTGTTGTTGCTGGGTTTTTTTTACTACACCATATTCCAAAGATTAGCCAGCTTAATCTATGGCTGGTTCTGGAGCTGGATTTGTCATAAGCATTGATTTAGGGAAAACTTCGCCACAGATGGAAACCACTGGCCTTGCCAGAAGATACCGACTCTACTGTTACGCTTGTTTACACTGAGCTGCACTGGGGTTGGAACGCAATCATGGTTACATTAAGACAGCGTGGAGCCGGCGCGAAATATGGGTCGGAAAATATACCTAGCAGTAGCCACCACAGCCATTTTGGAATGGCAGTGTCAGCCAATCAGCTCCTTTGCTGTTCAACTTCGACGTGCCATTCCATAATGGCCACTGGTCTTCCTCTCTTCACCATAGGTAGTGAGTGGAAACGCCAAGCGGATGCTTCACATTTATACATCTGTGGCGACACTCCATCTTAACTCCTCCTCCACATTTACTGGATTGGTTGAACAGTGCAGAAGAGAACCTCCCCCGACAGTTTGTATTATTCTCCTCAAGACCAGTACATAGGTGATCTATGCTGAACAAAAATATAAACGCAACATGTAAAGTGTTGGTCCCATGTTTCATGAGCTGAAATGAAAGATCCCAGAATTTTTCAATACGCATAAAAAGCTTATTTCTCTCAACTTTTGTGCACAAATTTGTTTACATCCATGTTAGTGAGCATTTCTTCTTTGCCAAGATAATCAATCCACCTGACAGGTGTGGCATATCAAGAAGCTGATTAAACAGCATGGTCATTACACAGGTGTACCTTGTGCTGGGGACAATAAAAGGCCATTCTAAAATGTGCAGTCTTTTCACACAACACAATGCCACAGATGTCTCAAGTTTTTAGGGATTGTGCAATTGGCATGCTGACTGCAGGAATGTCCACCAGAGCTGTTGCCAGATAATTGAATGTTTATTTCACTGCCATAAGCCACCTCCAATGTCGTTTTAGAGAATTTGGCAGAACGTCCAACTGGCCTCACAACCGCAGACCACGTGTAACCATGCCAGCCCAGGACCTCCACATCCGGCTTCTTCACCTGCAGGATTGTCTGAGACCAGCCACCTGGACATCTGATGAAACTGTGGGTTTGCACAAACAAAGAATTTCTGCACAAACTCTCAGAAACAGTCTCAGAAAAGCTCATCTGCGTGCTCGTCGTCCTCACCAGGGTCGTGACCTGACTGCAGTTTGGCGTCGTAACCGACTTCCGTGGGCAACTGCTCACCTTCGATGGCCACTGGCACGCTGGAGAAGTGTGCTCTTCACGGATTAATCCCGGTTTCAACTGTACCGGGCAGATGGCAGACAGCATGTAGAGTGTCATGTGGGTGAGCAGTTTGCTGATTTCAAATTTGTGAACAGACTGCCCCATGGTAGTGGTGGGGTTATGGTATGGGCAAGCATAAGCTATGGACAACAAACACAATTGCATTTTATCGATGGCAATTTGAATGCACAGAGATACCGTGATGAGATCCTGAGGCCCATTGTCGTGCCATTCATACGCCGCCATCACCTCATGTTTCAGCATGATAATGCACAGCCCCATGTCGCAAGGATCTGTACACAATTCCTGGAAGCTTAAAATGTCCCAGTTCTTCCATGGCCTACACACTCACCGGAAATGTCACCCATCGACGTGTACGACAGCATGTTCCAGTTCCCGCCAATATCCAGCAACATCGCGCAGCCATTGAAGAGGAGTGGGACAGCATTCCACAGGCCACAATCAACAGCCTGATCAACTCTATGCGAAGGAGATGTGTCGCGCTGCATGAGGCAAATGGTGGTCACACCAGATACTGACTGGTTTTCTTAATATTCCCAGTCATGTGAAATCCATAGATTAGAGCTTAATGAATTTATTTACATTTACTGATTTCCTTATATGAACTGTAACTCGGTAAAATCTTTGAAATTGTTGCATGTTGCGTTTATAGTTTTGTTCAGTGTAACTACATTTTACTTGGCCTATCCCCACATTCATTCTTAACAGAACCATCATTTTTTCATTCCATTCCACTCTTCCAACCTGCAAAATAAAGTTCTGAAACGGTGGAAACCCCCAAAAAGTAACGTTTAAAATCAATTTTTTGTACATTTAGCTCAACAATAAATTACTTCACCAATCAGTGTGGATAGGGCAAGCTATAGTTGTGATGGACAGACAAGTGTAGGGTGCGAGATGCGACTGACATTTTGCGGGTGGGGAGAGGGCGAGAGAGGGTGGAGGTGAAGCGCTGGGCATCTTGTTATGACATGCATTATCTGAATTAGGCTCACAGCATTATACCTACAGAGGAGCGGCTTCTATGGAGGAACTTTGAATGTCTTCCGAGAGTTGGCGTAACGGTGGACCAGAGTTAGCTAGCTAGCTAGCTAGCTAATAAGCTTATGTGTGAAGAGCGGCACCAGAATTAAAAACACGTCTAACCTTTTTGTAGTTAAGAAATCCAATGTGAAATGTGATACCATAGTATCCTTAACTAGCATTGAAAAAGTTAATCCATTCTTCTGTAATAAAAAATCGTTCCCTAATTTCTGAATCACGCTTGTAACGTCAGTAGGCTACAGTTGCCTATGCTTCGGAGGGGGAGGGGCAGGTAGCCTACACACACACTGGCAAAGTTTTTCAGCTGGCAGGCAGACACTGGAATACGTTTCTGAGTGACAGAGTGAGGGCTTTGCATAGGCGCTTTGTTGTGTTTTTTTTGTGGGACTTTTAAAAAATGCCCGGAACGTAAAATAATGTTATTAACTGGTTCCCATGCTTTTAAAATAATGGTTCTGTTCCGGAACAGTATAGATCACTTTCATTCACAGTTCTGATTCTGTTCCTCAAAACTGGAAAATAACAACACTTTTTCTGTTCTGTTCCCTGAACAGGTTCAAATCCCTGTCACAATCTTTATCTTTAACTTTGTTTAATTTATAGTAGTTACAGTTGAAGTCGGAAGTTTACATACACCTTAGCCAAATACATTTAAACTCAGTTTTTCACAATTGCTGACATTTAATCCTAGTAAAAATTCCCTGTTTTAGGTCAGTTTGGATCACCACTTTATTTTAAGAATGTGAAATGTCAGAATAATAGTTGAGAGAATGATTTATTTATTTCAGCTTTTATTTCTGTCATCACATTTACATTTACATTATTTAGCAGACGCTCTTATCCAGTGCGACTTACAAATTGGTGCATTCATCTTATGATAGCAAGTGGAACAACTTATGATAGCAAGTGGGGGAAGAAGGATTACTTTTATACTATTCCAGGTATTCCTTAAAGAGGTAGGGTTTCAAGTGTCTCCGGAAGGTGGTCAGTGACTCCGCTGTCCTGGCGTCGTGGGGGAGCTTGTTCCACAATTGGGGTGCCAGAGCAGCGAATAGCTTTGACTGGGCTGAGCGGGAACTGTGCTTCCGTAGAGGTAGGGGAGCTAGCAGGCCAGAGGTGGATGAACGTAGTGCCCTCGTTTGGATGTAGTGTCTGATCAGAGCCTGAAGGTAAGGAGGTGCCGTTCCCCTCACAGCTCCGTAGGCAAGCACCATGGTCTTGTAGTAGATGCGAGCCTCAACTGGAAGCCAGTGGAGTGTGTGGAGGAGCGGGGTGACATGAGAGAACTTGGGAAGGTTGAACACCAGACGGGCTGCAGCGTTCTGGATAAATTGAAGGGGTTTAATGGCACAGGCAGGGAGCCCAGCCAACAGCGAGTTGCAGTAATCCAGACGGGAGATGACAAGTGCCTGGATTAGGACCTGTGCCGCTTTCTGTGTAAGGTAGGGTCGTACTCTGCGAATGTTGTAGAGCATGAACCTGCAGGATCGGGTCACCGCTTTGATGTTAGCGGAGAACGACAGGGTATTGTCCAGGGTCATGCCAAGGTTCTTTGCACCCTGGGAGGAGGACACAATCGAGTTGTCAACCATGATGGCGAGATCATGGAGTGGGCAGTCCTTCCCCGGGAGGAAGAGCAGCTCAGTCTTGCCGAGG